GGACCGGCCATGAAAGATGGCCTTCCAACGATCCACGGATCCATCCGTACCTCAGGTTCTGCACGACAGGGCCCTCCTGGCTGGCGCCTACATCAGTATAGTCTCCTGCTCACCTTCTCAGAAAGTGGCAGTGGATCCAATCTAGCAAGGTCATCCTCTGCCGGCCAATCCCTCTGTCCCATCTCCTGAAGACCAGGGTGGTATCAGCTTGCAAGGTGTCGGCGCCTCAGTGCTATCCCACTACCACACTGACACAAACCTACACAAAGTCTCCTCACTTGCAGAACAAATGAACGGACTTGCATTGGTCTTCCTGCTTGTGGTAGAGACATGTCAACAGCAACATCAGCAGCTCGAGTTCCTGTGGAATCCATTCTGTGCTATCTGGATCATGGCACCAGGAGACCAACCTACCGGAGCTCTCGCTGGGTCTCTCGCTACATGGGCGGCCAATGGTGGACGACCGTCAGGCTCGGTTCAAGGACCCATCCTCCAAATCAAACACATCCTCAGAAGGAGGCGGGTTAAACATGTGTTACCTCGTGTTATCTTTTACATGGCTCCATAATCATCAATACATCCTCAGACGGTAGGGACCAATCCCCCTCGGCAGCCACCCCAGTGCCACCTTCGACTTCGGATGTGGGAGAGGAGCCCAAACGGAAAACATCCTCCAAACGCCGACTCACTGTCAGCAAAATGTTGCAGAGAACCACACTGCAACTGCTCAAGGAACAAGTCCAGTCTTAAAGGGTGCCGGTGCCGACATCATGTTTATTCATCTCCGGAAAGGAGACAAGTCTTTCACACTCCCTGAAGAAATATGGAAGTCTTTCACACTCCCGACCATGTTCCTCTACAAACAGGTGGCTCTCTATTTCCATGTTACTGAGTCAGAATGTAATTGTTGGTTGCCCAGAGCAGTACGAGAAGCAGAACGAGCTTCTGCAGCGGAAGGAAGGAAGGATTCGGACAGTTCGGAAACGGCTTCTTCTACTATTCCTCATGAGGAGGTATGGGGTGTAGCTCAGAACTAGACTCCATTATTGCCAAACTTATCAATAATAACCAAAACAATAAGTTCGTTCTGTATAACAAGTATCGATCAGTAAGTGGTCAATAACATACAAGTCAGATTATTGATCATAAAGCCAATGTATTGATCATAAAGCCAATGTATTGAGCATAAAGCCAATCACATTCAGTTCATCTATATAGTCTTGTGATTCTTCCTTTGCCCCCACCGACCCGGAACGAAGCCTTCGCCTCTGAGGCGTCCGACCGACCACGGTGGTGGAAGACCTGGACGGGACCCGACCCCAGGGACCATCGACCCCCGAAACCACGGATATATGTAGGCCTAGGCATATATGGCAGTCCCTGTTCACCTGGATTCTCGTGGGGTGTCCCCAATCCGCACAAATTGTTGGGCAATGTTAGGCAGGTTGTCCAGTTGTCCTGGGGTAGGTGGCAACTTCTCCTTTAACTCCTCCCTTTGCCAGGATTCTGTGGCCTGTATTGAGCAAGGTTTTTGTGCAAAGCAATGCTTCAGGAGCAAGGCTTCACATATTTATGAGATGAGTGTCAGATAGTGTCAGGGTTAGGGTGATAAAGGCCTTCAAACAAGCTGTGGCCATTGTATAATCTTAAGTCAATCTTTGCCAGCCAGGCAATGGAAAGTTGATTTTTATTTTTTTTCATTTAGATCTTCATTTAGATCATCATTTTGTTTACAAAATATTTTTGTTTTATTTTCATTTATTTTGGGATTATCATTTTTTTGCGTCATGTTCATCCTTCCAGAACTGGTTGGCTTTGCTGTCATTTTTATGGGCTTCCAAAACCACTTCAGTCACAGTCAGCGCCTCAAACTATATATAAATGCGTGAAGGGATTCCCTCACCCATCCCTTCCCGAGCAATCGAAACCAAGGATCAAAATCATGGAATGCAACTTGCAAGCTGCTGAGCTAAACCACTGGGCCCCAAAAGCCTGAGCCTAGTGGCCTAGTGGCCTAAAAATTTGTCATACAGGGATGGGAAGTAAAACAGGTTAGTGAAGAGACAGCCCTGAATGAAAACTAAAAAAGCACACGAAATTGTCAGAAACAATATAAACAGTATGACCCAAATGAAGACCAAAATGACAGATGATAAGAAAATTATTAACCAAATGAAAACCAACATCACAAATTAAATAAATGATGAACCAAATGAAGAAGCAAATGAAAACCAAAATGCCACACGAAAAAAAAAGAAAAAAAAAAAAACAAAAAAAAAAAGAAAAGAAAAAACAAAAAAAAAAAAAAAAAAAAAAAAAAAAAAAGAAACGAAAAATAAAGGAAAAGCAAAAACGAAACGAAAAAAAAACGGAAAAAAAATGAAAATTTTTGTTCGCTCAAAAATTGCAATTTTCCTCGAGTTTTTTTTCATTTTTTTCGTTTTTCGGCCGAAACTAGCCGAAACTAGCCAAAACGAAAAAAAAAACGAAAAAAAAATGAAAAAAACTCGAGGAAAATTGCAATTGTTGAGCGAACAAAAATTTTCATTTTTTTTGCGTTTTCGTTTCGTTTTTGCTTTTCATTTATTTTTTGTGTCTTTTTTCATTTTTTTTTCGTTTTTTTTTCGTTTCGTGTTTGCTTTTCATTTATTTTTTGTTTTTCTTTTTCATGTCTTTTTCGTTTTGGCTAGTTTGCGCCACAAATCAACGATAGTCAGGTCCATTTCACAAAAGCTAAAGCAAAATAGACGGACATGTGTGATCCACCAGCAAAGAGGGTTCAGGACTAGCTGACTTGGCCGCTTTCCTTCAGGGGAAGCAATTGCAATTGAGCTCCAGCATTCTTTTGTCTTTCATGATCGCTTTGGCTAGTTTCGGCCACACATTGGCAACATTGTACAGTAATTTAATTCATGTGTTCATGTATATAATTTAGTCTGTTCACGTTGTTTTAAGTTCAGATAGTTTCGGCAACGCGTGAACGACAGTTTAAGTACATTTCACAACAGCTAAAGCAAAATAGAAGAAAGTGACTAGCCGACCAGGGTAGCAGCGGGTAGCAAAGAGGGTTCAGGAGTAAGTGACTTGGCAGCCTTAGCTTCAGGGGACGCAAACGATAAACGCAATCACGCATGAAAAAGCACGGGTGGGCGTGTAAAAAAATGATGATGCAAACGAAAACACACATTTACATGAAAAAAGACACAAATGGGCATGAAAAAATATGATGATGAAAACGAAAACGAAATGAAAAAATAAATGTTTTGTCCACCCCCAGTCTGTGGCTGTAAGATTCTCATAAGTATAATCCTCTTGGAGGCATTGCAAGGCTTGCTGTTCTATGGGGAAGAGATGTAAACCCAAGGAATCACAAAATACCGTTTCTGGAGTGTGGATGGTGTAAGACACGCCAGGAGACTGGTATATATGCCACATGCCGATCAATTGAACTCATGTCAACCACCCCAGTCTATGTCAATATGCCAGTCCCAGGTCGTGTCTGGGAATGCAAGCTTCATTCAACAATGTACAGATCTGTCGGCCATGTTGAAGCCAGGTGTCTCGAAGGACCTGCATGAGAATACCACACTTGTGATACATATTCTCTTTTTGCACAGGGATTGAGGCGATCACACTCAGGTCCTACTGCTCTTGCTTCTTGCCCAGTCTTTCGTTTAAAACCTGCATTGGTTAGCCCACCAAGCACATCTTCCGGTCACCATAACCAAAGGGGTACCAGAGTGGAGTTCGCGCTCCGAGACATCCTCTTTGTCTCCTACGTTCGAACCAACCGAGGCGACCCTCACTGTTAGTCACCCGGGGTCGAAAGTCACCCGACCGCTACCAGGGCGTGCTACCACTTAAGCGCGCTGTACCCAGTAGCAAGATCTATACCCAAACACTCCATGTGTGGCATATTTACATATACATTGGGATTTACATTCATTGGGGTGGTTGAAAAGGGGTCAATGTTGGCATATTGTAGGCATAATATAATATATAGATCTATAACTACTCCTTACATGGTGCGTCTGAGTATTGTAACAGTGACTGGTTCATCTGAACTACATCTGTACCATTTGAACCTCTACGTATAGAGCACACACCGCTTCGCTTTTAACGCCCCCAACTGGGGCACCGCACCCCATCGATTGGCCCCAGGCCGATTGAACCTCCGCCTCTTCGGCGACCTCAACAGCCCGCGACGGATCGTGACTAGAAGGGCGGTCTGCACGTTTTCCGGGCGGTGGCACTGCCGCGCAGTGTCCACCCGTTTTCTGGTTGAGTGGGAAAAGACAGGTCGGTTTGGCAAGTTCTTCACTTTTTTGGTGGGTAGGCACAGACTTGGAACAGATCTGAACGTCCAAAACGGGTGGTTTGGAGTCCAAACCACCCGTCATCGGTAGAATAAGAGACAGTTGAATCGCACCCTGTTGAGTTGAGAGTGCTTCGTCTTCGAAAAGACCAATTCTTCGCACTGGTGGCGTGAGCGTCTGGAGAGCTTCAATCAGCGAAAAGGTCGGTCGAGTTCTCAGGAAGAATCTGCCCAAACGCTCCAAACGCTCCCTCAACACCCTAGGGGGCGTTGGTTTGGGTCCGGACCCCTGGTTTTATGGTTACGGCTGCTACTTACAAAAATCCAGGGTCACGTCTGGGTGAATCACTACTATTCATTGCTGTATCTGTTCTCCACCTCTTCATGGTTCACATGGAAAGCCAATCCTCACAAACAGGTCAATAGCATGACCAGGAACTACCTCTGGACTCTTCATGCGACCCAAGAAACCCCGAGCTGCCAAGCTTAAAACCACCGGCTCCCTACAAAACGGACGAAGGCGGCCGGCGCACGCATGGCGTGCGTGCACATGCGGGCGTCCACACCAAGGGCTGCCCTGCTTGGCACTGGCCATCTCGCGCCTGATTAGTGAACGGCTCCGGTCCGCACCGAAACGGACCTGTGACAAGGACTATAGGTGGACGCATCTATGATGATGTATACTTCAACTTCCCACTAAGGACTGCCTATTGAAGTAAATCCTGGTAAGGACTGCTTCGATTCTTCAACGGTGGCTCATGCATTGATGATACATTGATGGGCGGATCCGGGCGGATGGGCTTTCCACAAGACATCACAAGACATCTAAGGTGCCGTTTCTGTTTTACGGAGCCTCCGTTTCCATTGGAGAAGGGCCTCCGATTCTTAGGGTGATCTGCAACCTAGCTCGCCCACATGAGTGGACCTTCCAGATACTCTGTGATATTTGACTGGCAGCTGCACGTAGCTGCGCCATGCTGTGCCTTTTTTTCTCTGTCGCGAGGTTTCCGGCGGAGTGAAACAGAGTGAATGCAAGGCCCAAGATTGCACAGTAGGAGTGTGATACACTGGCTGCCATTAGGGAATAGCACATGTGAAATTGAAAAAAGAAAACGCTTAAGTGTCACAAAGACTAGTCTTTGTCAGGCCTTTCTATGCTGCTGTCTTCATCTAAATTATGTCAAGAGCTTAACGACTTCGCGGTGGCCTTGTGCGACAGCCAAGTGTAAAGCTGTTCTCCCATCCATGGTCGTTTGCTCTTTGTCGGCCCGGTGTTCTAGCAACATTTGCACGACCGATGTGTGCCCCTTCCAGGCTGCATACTGCAACGCAGCGGCTTTGCCATGAAGAGTGACGTCACTTTGCAGCAAGCAGTCCACTAGCTCAGGGTAGTCCTTCTCAGCCGCCCAATGCAACAATCTCTCCCGTTTCGGTCGATCCTCTTGACCAGGCTGTGACTTGAGCAAGGCCAACAACATCTCAACGTTGCCTCGTTCGGCGGCATAGCAAGCCTGGTTGGTGCGTTCAACTGACGTGAACAGTATTAGTGATTAAGTTTAATCAATCATCCCAAGTAAAACAAGAAAAAGAACAACTATGAAACAGACATATCCAAAAACGCCAAAACAAAAACCAAAAACCACCTAGAAGCAAATGTATTGCGATCACTTGTGGCGACGTCTTTCTCAAGAAAGAGTCGCATCATCTCCAGTCGCTCAGCTCGAACGGCCAAGTGCAAGGCGGTCTTTTGAGAACGCGTGGCCCGACCCGGGTCAGCCTGAGCCTCCAAGAAAACGAAAGATACACATAAACATAAAAGACACACACATACATTGACATATATATGTAGAAAACAGTGCCTATTAAGTCATCCACTATATATGTTTTTCTTTTTTCCAGATATATTAAAGATCTCGTTATTTTGTTCAACCTGAGCCTCCAACAAGATACGAACAGTCTCCAAGTGCCCCCACTCCACGGCTGAGTGCAACGCATTCATGGAACAGCTGCCAAGCTTGTCGATCTCAGCACGAGCCTCTAGCAAGAGCTTCACCACGGCAGAGTTTGGATACTGGACAGCCAACTGCAAAGGCGTTGTTCCGGACCACGTGGTCTGTTCGAGATTCGCTCGGAAGGCGAGCAACAAGCGAACCACCTCTTCGTTACCGGTCTCCACCGCCCTATGCAAGGGTGTCTTTCCCTGGCAATTCCTGGCATCCGTGTCCGCGTCCGCGTCGAGCAACACTTGCACCACATTCTGGTCGCCAGTGGCGGTTGCCAAGTGCAATGCAGTGTCCCTGGTCCGGGAGAGGCATTCTTTGTCAGCACCGGCCTCGAGCAACAACTGCACAACTTTCAAATGGCGATTTGCCACTGCCAAATACAGAGGTGGATCTAGAGATTTTGCTGCCTCCAGATCTGCTCTAGCCTCAAGCAGCAAGGTGACACATTCTAGGTGACCTGCCTCGGCCGCAATACGTAATGCAGTGTTGCCCCTCCGGTTGCGTTCATCTGGATTCAAAGGCCTCTGAAGCAGTGCTTCAACTTGAACGCAGCGGTTGGCCAAACATGCCCTACAGAGTTCACATATTCCCTGACGCTCCTGTGCTGAGTGTGGAAGAAAATCCAGAATCACCAGCTGCACCGCAGAGGGAGACATGATGTTCATGTCATCTGGCATCTCCTCGAGCTCATGGTTGAACCATCTCTGTCGGAATCTTGTTACTCCGATGGTCATTGCCAGCTGTGTTTTCAGGACTCTCACACATTTGCCTTCCTTAGTAGTCAGCCATCGTTTCCAAAATGCAACACTGATATTTCAAAAACTCGTCGAACGTCCACACCCCAACAAAAAACAAAAACTCATCAGAGTTAGTTGGACTCGTGAACTGCAAAACCTACACAGAAGGCAGGCAGGACATGACCAGCAAACAATAGACCACACAAACAACAATAGTCTATTAAGCAGTTACTGTAAAGCAACAAACGCACGAAAGCACCAAATATAAGCTATAAGGAGACAAAAGCAAGCAGGTTCCAATGCCAGGACCATAACCTCTTTCCACGTGTATCCTGTTTTATCTTTAATTCTGTAAACACATCAAATAGGGGGAAATAGGCATAAACACTAACAAAAACCAACACCTCAAAAAGTAGAGAACAAACTAAAGCCCCGGCAAAACAGCATTTGCTTCTTAGCCTGCCGGTTGTATTGTTTGTCCGTGTTTGATGAAATCTTTGAATCTTTCCGTGCCTCGAACCCAGCCTAAACATCATGTACTTGGAGGCCATCGGTTGGAATCTCAAAATGCATTGGACACATTGCTTTTCCGCAGGTCTGTTTCTTTCAGGCGGCAAATTCTGGCCAACTGTGAAAAAGATTGATGGGCCACCATGACCATGGGTCAGCTCTCCTTCTAAACGTGCCCCTGATATTCGTTGGGAATCAATAGCGACTCTTACATTTACAATCATGATACATGTGAGGAAAATGCTTAGGTTACAGGACAAATGGCTAGTCTTTGACTGAGCATAATCTACCAGCACCCTCCACCAGGTCACCACCTGCCACTTTTAAGTCTGCAAAAGCCACCAAAGGAGACGTGTTGGAAGGTGCTGGTAGGATATTTCTAACATGTCTGTATGCAATTGTTTGGTTTCAAAGCACTCCCCATGTGCCTCCAAAAGCACCGACGAGAAGCACATGACATGCAATGTTTAAAACTAAAACATCTATGATAATCTATGATCTATGATGATCTCTATGTATGTTGTCAAAAGGAACCATGGGGCTTCTGCTTCACCTACTCCATGCTATTTTGGTCCTCCCAACCTCCACCGACCTCTCCTTCCCAACCACCTCCGAGTGTCCACCTCTTCGGCCTCTAAATGGGCCACGGGCTCACCGCTGAGCGCCCAATGCAGCCGCAGCATGCGGAGCGCCCGAACCGGTCCGCCCGAACCGGTGCGGCTACCGGTCGAACCTCCTTTGAGCCGTGGCGCCGTGTTTGAAACACCGTGGGGCCATGAGTTTGGGGGTTGAAGAGAGTGGTTGAGTTTGGCACCGGTGGTGGTGAAGATGGACTGTCGAGAGATGGAAAAGAAGAAAATAGCTGTTAAGAACTTGCTATTTCATGCTTGCTATACTCTTTTCCTCGACTTGGCGTGCCATAGGCAGTTGCCCGCGACTATGTGCAATTGAATTCCGAATTGGCAATGCTTGCTACTAGATACATAGTTTGATGGAATGAAGATCGCACTATGTTGCACTTGCTGTCGGCCTCGGACGCACGCGGCCCACACGGTGTGACTGATGGTCGACCGGCCCCCTGCCTGCGGCTCTGTCATGGTGTTGTCCACCACCTGCGGCTCTGTCACACGGATCAGTCAGCAGTCGGAGTCCGCATGGAGGGTGTGCACTGCTGAGTGAGAGCCGAAGAGCTGATTTCGGATAACACTCTAGGGCCAACTGCCTCCTGAGAAAATGCTTGGGGTGGGTTTGGGAGGCCGAATACCACCGAACCTGAGGATGTGGGCCAGGAGCCCTAGAGAAGGTATGTTAATATGCCAGTCCCACTGCCAGTCCCATTAGTCGTGTCTGGGAATGGTAGATCCACTGCAGCACTCACTCAGCCCCGACATCGTTACGGTGGGCTGTTGGTGCCGGTTCCAAGGTCCACAGAACCAGGTGAAGTGGTTGGATTCCGACGGATCTATGAATGAACACTCCTATCAATGATGGTTGCACATGTGAAGGAGGAGGAGGAGGAGGAGGAGGAGGAGGAAAGTGTACATTTGTGATAACTGATAAGCTTCAAAGTACATGTGCACCAACAAAAACAACCCGTGTACAACTGTACATTTGTATCAGCTGTACAATTGTTGGAGGAGGAAAGTGTACATTGATGAAATTTTAAGAATTCAAGTCTGTGTCGCATGGAGTTGCTGTCCATTTGTCAAATCGGGACGCCTACCGCCGCCTATCTGTGATAACCTTCAAATGAAGCACCTGAGGATCATGCAACGTTCATGGGAGTCATTTGTGGAGCCCAAAAGAGGCAAGATTAAGAGAAAGCATCAATTAAACATCAAGATATATAATGATATATCGAAGATCATCAAACTGCTAAGCAGATTGCACCAAAAAAATACAACAAGTCAGATGACACATCGGGTTCAGGAAATTTGATTCGTCTTCAGGGTGGTCGGCCACGTCTTTCTGAGTCTTCCAGCAGGTTCCACCAATCTGTCAACGACGACCCGGCGGCCCGCCCGGACAGATTCCGCCAAGAAGTACAGCACAAAACATGTCTGCAACGATTTCTAAATGTCAGACACGCCATGGGAACACCAACGATTACATTCCAAAAATCAAACAATTCCCCAACAAACACAAATGATATTGATATCATAGCAAACATGATCAAACATGCAAGCAAACATCCGGGTCACCCAATTTCTGTGACCTCTCAGACGGCTCCATGAGTCTCCATCGGTCTCCATCGGTCTTCCTCAAGGTTCGCTGCCTTGAGTCTGGCTGCGTGGTGCACTTGATCTGTAAACTGGAAGGTGCCTGGCCATGGGACGTAGCTGGGAGAGCGTGGGACGTCATCCGGGCGTAGGGAAACGACCAAATCCTTCCAGGCGATAAACCGGTTGATCAATCCCTCAGTTTGACGAACAACAAACCAAAGCACGAAAGGGCACAACACGTGGCTTGTGATCGGTTGCACTGGGCGATTGGACTGATGCTGGGGAGTTCAAGTCAGGGACTCCTCCAAGAGGTTTGCCAATGGGTTTCCTCCATTCCCTCTTCCCATCTTTGGAGGTCTTCCTCTTCCAAAAGAGACACCCAGAATGGATCGTCGCAGGTCTACGGCTGTTTCATAGTTCCGACGTGAAAGGCGACCTTAGGACCTTGAAGGGTGGTCCCTCCGGCGGCATGCGACGTTGATAGGGTCGTGGTCCCATCGTTGCAATCTCAGCTCAAGTGTAGGAAAGCCTCATCGAGTGTCAGACATCTCAGGCTTTTTCTTTCTCATCATGCGACGCAATGGACCAACAACCAACCAACGCATGCTGTTCCAAGCAAAGAGGTAGCCATCATGCAATGAACTCTACAGTAGGTCAAGCTATCTCTACCATCCACTATAGTATCACTATCACTGCCAGGTAGAGAACCCATTGGACGACCAGGTCAACATGGAGACAACTGCAAACTCGCTGCAAACAGTCCAGACGTTCAAGCGAAGCAAGCAAACGATGCATGCCGATCTCAGGTCAAGTGTAGTAGAGAGTAGACCTTCAAGCCTTCATTCTAGCTCTTGGCCAATCCGGCAAAATTCACTCATCATGCGGCTGAAACAGCACGCTGGACATGAAGTACACAGTTGTCAAACATGAGATGTGTGTTCAGGGGTATCTTTCCAGAGTGATTCCTTTTGCACAAAACCTCAAAATCTCGGGCTAGATCCTGCCAGACTAGTCCCTACCCGACCCTGCCCCACTCAGTCAATCATGGGTATTTGGCATTTGGGACCTGAAAGCATAGGGCCTCTCGAGTCAGGGTGGGACCTGACTCGTTCCGCTGGGGAATCCCAAGCATCGATTGATGGGTCTTTCCGCAACAAATCACTGTGACTCCTTCGACCATGAGGAGAGCTGGTCGAGCTGGTCGAGCGGAAGGCTAGCTTGGAGCTGTCCGACGGAGCCGAGAAACAGAGGATTCACCAGTAGCCGAACCCTTCACTCACGGGGAACATGCGGGAACCTCACCAATCACCTTAGATCAGCAACACCAGGGCTGGGAAAGAAACACTGCCACCTCCTGGGCCTGCCTTCACCAGTTAGCTGCACCGTTCGCCAACCAAAATCAAACGAGCAAGATTAGAGCAGTGCCCAGAAGGACCCTATATCCTCCCTGATCCAAGGGACCCATCAAAGAGTGGCTTAAGAGTTCGCAGGCAAAGGAGAAGCTCTTTGATCCAACACATCCCAGATTTGAATCAATCAGTCCGTTCTCCCTACTCATTGGAGGACATTCTTTACCCTACTTTCGACATGGCTTCGACATAAATACATACATTGACCATCATTAAACTATGTTGGAAGCAGCTCTATCGCACTGCAAATACCCAAATACTCGACTTGGCCTGATTCCAATTACTCCCGACCTCCCATCGGAATTTTCACTCGTTCAGGCCTCCAGGTATCTTGATCTCCAAGGTGCTATAGTTCGCACCCGCGTGTGCCTCAGCCGGACCCCAAAAAGATGATTCATGGTGTCTTGAGATCCTTTCACGCCTCAAGAGGTGGTTTCAACTCACGAGGAGAGAGAGATGAATCTGAGGCTTCAATCATCCAAAAGGTTGGAACATTCAAAGAGATCTGAAACCACCCCCCAGAAGCGCCCTGCTGGAATCGCTGCTTGAGTCCCAAAGAAGGGCAGGAGCCAGTCCCGGGGGCCTCCAAACAACTTATTGAGAAGTGTTCTTGTCTGATAAACTTTAGTAGAATGAGGTCCAACTGACCTGTAGTTCGCGGAGTGCCCCCTCGAAAAAGGTTTCTTACTAGGGTTCCAGTCGTGCCTCCTCGGCACCTCCTGGGCCAGCCTGGCACCCAGAAGGTACGACTGCAGGGACTGAGTCTAGTGACTCGAATGGGTCCAGAGAATCACCACCAAAGGCCACCCGAACCGAACTCGCTCGGCCCGAACCGCTCCGCTCGCTACATCGGAAGCTTCACCCGGTCCATTTGAGGAAACACTTTGTTCCGGGCGGCGCGGACGGATTTCTCCCATCACCAATTTGGTGAAGTCCAAGAACAAGAGGTGATGGCGGCTTCAGATCCCGTTGGTGTTAGACATCCGGGTTTATATATATGTATGTGCATGTATGTTATATATATTATATGTGTGTGTGTACATATTGCTATACAAACCAATACACATATTCATATCCTCTCTGACTCTAGCGCTTCCTAGTGGTCAGGCACCACCATATATACAAAGCATTTGCCCAAGTTGTTCAACCCCCCGGAATGCAAATTAATTGGCAACAAAAACAATCTTAATAGATCCTTTCCTGAGTGGCTCAATCACCGGTATTTGTTCGGACCTAAAACGCTATCCCTCCAGCCCCTCCAAAAGCAAATCTACCCCTCCAGCCACTCCAAAAACCACAAGAACGGATCTGCATGGGTTCCAGTGAACCGTGGATAGATGTAGGTACATCAGGCTTGGGTTGCTGGAAGGAAGGCTTTGAACCCGAGTCGTGTTCTATTTCAATCCAGTGGCCGAGCAGAACCTAGAGCTGCGATTGCATTGTTCAAACCTCCGGCTTTAAAGGACATATCATCATAAATCATGAGCCAGCCCAAGGTCTCCAAGTACATCCTGAGAAGGTGGGACTTGGGTAGGCTTGGAGGGTCTAAGTACCTTCTTGGAATGCATTTGGAAGCCTACGGAATGTGAAAGTTTGCTTACCTAGCAAAGGACTGCCACTTTTGCCGATTGGTACTTGGATTATGGAACCGTGAACCCACAGCGGGTGCGAATACTTCTTGAATTAGGACCTATAATTCTGAGCACTTCCATGGTTCACAATCATACCTGAAGGGCTAAGCCTGCAAGCTGGCCACTGACTACAAAATACTAATATACTAATTACACATTATACATACATATATATATATATACATTAGAGATATAAGATATATGACAACAAAAGAACAAATGACGAGAACCCTTCTGGCGCTCGACTCGGCATCCAGGCCCCCTCGATGGAGGTACAAAAGCTACTGCAAGTCCAGGACGTGGCACCGCCTGTGGACGTGGCACTGCCAGTGAGATCGAACATGCCTTTCGTGCCTTCTGAGAAGGTGGCAGTGGATGCCTAGGGATTTTGGACGGTGAAGGGTTTCCCATTGCTGATTTGGATGGAACACGAACGTTCATCAATCCGGTGATCTGCCGAACTCCTGGGTAGGGCTGGTAGTGCTGTTGGTCCAAGATTTCTGCTGTTGCCCTATGGGCCAACTGCCACCTGAGTTAGGAGTTGTGCCACTTATGAGACGGGTTGTTTGTTGCACAAGTCCCAACTCACTAGGGCAGTGTGTATTCCCGGCCGGTGTTTCGGTGCCAGCGAGAAGGACTTTCCCACGGGCGCGAGAGTGTCCCATGATGTTCCAAAATTCCTCAGTGAGTCCAGAGTGAGTTTTCAGTCACGAAGGGCGGCCCTGGTGGTTCCAACGAAAACTGCTCCATCGACAGTCCTTGCACCTTCGAAAACATGGTTTGAAGCCTGTTCTCGAGCCTTCGGAACCTTGAGAAGCTTCATTTTGGAGTCCACCCAGTCCACCATAAATCCTTCACGCTTGACAACAACAAACAACAACAATTAACATAGAACTTCCACATATACACCTCCAGAAGGGAGTAGGCTATGTTTACTATTTAGCAGTACACCTGGTAAATTTTGACATGGAACATGAAGACGGAACCTTTGGAAGATGTTGGACGACTATTTTTCCTCTACAATCCAGTGGTTTTCAGGCTCCATGTGGGTCTCTTCCAGGGCGTATTGCTGGGGCTGATGGATGTACGGGCATCTTCGCCCGAACTATTGGGGCACACCATGGTGGTCAAACTGGAATGGATGGACCAAGATCTATCTAGATAGTGACTCAGTGGGCGCTTCGAACTCAGTGTAATCTTAGTTTGTATGGTCCTCTTGGAGTAGATAGAATATGGAAAAAACATCCGGATGGTTAGACACATGTTCGGTTTGAACATATTCTATCTACTCCAGGGTGGTTGTAAATCTTACACCTCTAACCAACCGGTTTTCTCGCGTTGATGCCCTGCCTTCTTCCACCATGTACAAGACATGGTTGTCCGGCAGTGGCATGTCCTGGCACCAAACTCAGCAAGTGATAAGCTTCATGGTCACTTGCGTCCCGCCCTGTCCTCAGGAGTATCATGGATTATCAGTCAGTTATCAGTGCGTCATATCCTCATATCCTTGGGTTTACTGCAATCTGGCCAGCACAAGGGGTCAAACTATACCAACACATACCAAACCCAAATCACTCCTGGCTTCACTGTCTCGACCCCGGACCCACTTTGCTGGCAAGAACGCAGGCTTCCAGGAACCCCCCAAGCCTAGAATTTCGACTCGTTTGTATTCTTCTGCGCAGCTGTTTGGTAAAAATGGATCCGAGACGCAAGCGACACTCTGTCAGCGCTACCTGAAACCTCATCGAGATTGCGAGATTGCACTTTGAGGTGACATGGAACAAGGGAAACATAAAGGGAAGCCCATGGGAAACCCTTGGACTCCTAGGGAAGAAAAAATCATTGCTCAGCCTTATTCCAACTTGTTCCAGGCCTAGAGAAGGAGTGTCCACCTTGTGGTCCAGGGAAGGCGGGACAATCAGATTTCCCTTGTATTACCCTTGTGATCAAATAACCCCTGGCCGAAACCGAGACGACCATTCAAAGAGTTGGATTGACCATTGACCTGGTTTTATAGTGTAAACTCCGGCGTAAAAGAGCTGGTAACAGCTGGTTCTTCGTTCTTCGTTCTTCGGCAAGAATCCACGGCCCATCACTGGTGGGCGACCTGAACCCTTGGTGTGGACTCTGAATCGCGTGAGAATAGACATATTACAGCATCTGTTCACTTGAAACATTGGGCTCATGCGTTGATGAACCGGTTTCAAGGTACCCTGTATCATGCGTTGATCAGGCTGTCCTGAGGATGTACCTGAACCTTAGGGTTGGTGATCAAATGTCTAGTCACGTCGTCTGAGCAAGCTCCCCGTTGCAATAAAGTAACCCACCACCGGTTCAAAACCCTGGAAGTGAAACCGCCCCCCCCCAAACAGACCCCCTTCATATAAAAAACTATACCAAGTGGTTCCTCTCCACGTCCTATCGCACAAAGTGCACGTTGTTTTGCTATGTTTTGCTCATTCCAAGGTACTCTCCGGCCCCGCAACGGCCTCCAAGGTCGTAATGTACTGGAGCCGTCCTGGCGTCACATTTTTAGACTGTCTGCACGGGTTCCGGTGATCTTCACTGATCGATAGGGGCCCTAGAGGTAGAGCTCCAGCTGGGCCTGGGAATTCCGAGCCTACGAAGCGTAAGAGACAGAAGCGGAATGGCCGGCACCATCATTCGATCAGCTTTTGTGATGTATGTTACACCATGGATCTACATTGAAAAGGAGTATGGTCAGTATGGTTACATACACCAGATTCCGTGTATGCCTTATCTGCCAGTTCTGGCCAGAGATATGAATCTGATTTGAAGGTTCCGCACGAAAGACTTTCAAACAAACCATCAAAAATGGTGTTTTTTCACTCCACCCTGGCACCGGTGCAGAGAAACCGGACTCCGTGGAAACCGGTGCACCATCGACCGATACAGGTACTTCTCGACCTATGGCGGGCCCCGGCGACATTGCACCAGGCGACTTGGAGAATCTTGCCACTAGTATCATATTCATATGAGATGTATTCATATAAGGACCCACAAGGACCCTCCAAGGGGTGTCTACAAAAAGCTATAGAGGTGATTTGGATTGATTCGACGTGTCCAAAAAGCACCTGGCTTGGAAGGTTCTGTTGCAACAGACCTATGTCTTGAAACACATGTTGAACAATACTTCCATCTGCAAGCACCACGGTCACGAACGGGAATCCTATTTCCCAACTGGCTTTCACCACCAAATGAACGACTCACAATGACTCTAGAAATTATCATCATCTGATTACACATCATGCTTTTCCAAAGCGTGACTACCCGGCAACTTGCTGGGTGAACACCCTTCTAGAGCTTCCCACCTGTGAAAAGAAGAAGGAAACGGTCTGGAAACACCTTCCTCTCACACACACAACCCAAAAGCACACAAAATCGCCAAAACCTGTGGAGCTCCACCCTGTTTCAAACCCCAGGGCTCCCCCACGTTCGGCGGCGATCAGCTTGAGCTCCGCTAGCTCTTCCTCCGTGATGGCCAACTCGCCTGTCGCGGTACGCTCACCACAGATCGGACGATCGTCGTGGGGACCAGTTCGGGGCAGGAAACAGGCAAAAGCTAACTAAAAGCTTTGGATCAATAGCGAACCAGTACACAGTACACAGGTACAACCAGTACACATGGTACCGAATCGGTACACAGTGTTACCAGTACTGTGAGCGATCTAGAATCGCTGGTAAGCTGATCCCAAGAAAAGCTTTGGATCAATAGCGATTCTCATGCTCACCGTGTGTTCTTGAACAAACCACCAAAAACACGCTGAACCAGCTGCAAACTGTGGAAACACTGGCCGCCAACTCACCCCACCAAAAGGACCCACCCCATCGGGGGTCATCCGCGAGGCGCTCCGAGTTTCGGCTACCTGGACATTCCAAAGTCCTCCAGGAAGGGAACCTCGGAACAAGCTGTATATCCAGGAAGGGTAAAAGATGTATACATCCATTAAATGCTACAAGCTATATGACATACACATCGTCATATAGTCTAAACGGTCTAAATACCCTATGGTCTCATTGGGCCAAAACGCCGGCCATCGTTTCGGCCACACGCTCGGCCTGGTGAATCCATCCAGGCGCCGCCCGGCTCCTGTGCGAAGTCGGTGTCGTTTTGGGGGGGCCAAAGCAGCCACGTCTGAGACGGCCTTGGGAGGGAAACCATGGTTTCTATAAGGCCATAAAAAGACTTCAAGGCACATATAGTGTGATTTGTTGTTCATGGAATGGGTGTTGCAGTTGGAATGGGTGGTTCAGCTGCTTGAACAGAAGAGGTGATGTGTTGGTGGGATTTCTTCTATCCACTCTACTAAGATGCCAACAAAAACACGTGTATGAAAATGAAGACAAACTGATCCCCTGAACGGGACATGACCCTTCTCATCATGTCTTGGGATGCATCTGGTTCTTGGTTGCTTGGGACTCTCATCAAGTCACACGAGCTATGAGTCATGGGTATCGCGGCAGTACGTACTACCTTTTGACCTCTCCACACCCAACTTCACCGAACCTGCGGATGACGAACCAGCGAACCTGCCAGATTCTTCCCAGCTCTACTTCACCGGCTCAACCCTAGCTCGACAGCTCCAACAAATGGTCCGTGGTCCACATCCTTCACGGTGTCACCGGGTCCTTTTGGAACGCCGGTGCGGAGAGCATCTGCTCCCTACAGTGACTCAAACCACATCCTCTCAAGGTAGAGACGGACCATGGTAGACTCTGGTAGATTTTCCCCCCAAAAAGAAACTGACTGGCTAAGATCATCTACCTGGAAAAATGGTTAGAGGGCCTTTGTTTTCATGACAGGTTCTTCTTTGAACTTGATCGACATTCTTCTCAAGAAAATCCACTTGTGTTCCAGATATTTCAGCTCAAAACAGCCAAGATTAAAGTCCACTTGATCTTTTGTTGACACGTATTCTCTCTCAACGTCCCTTCAAACGGCTGCTTGTTCCAGTTATCGACTCCCTAGGGTCCTCATCTTGGCTAAAGACCCCACCTGCGAAGGCAACTGAGTGAGGTGATCCAGCAACGAGTTCTCCATAAATATGTTTTGATCATAGGGTGGTGTGTGTAATATCTATATAAACCATGTAAATGGTAATATTCTCAATAACATGTTGACAGGGTGTTGATATTATATGTATATTATGGAATGCCCAGTCCAAAGCACTATAGAGATGGTGCAAACATGAAAGTCAAATAGGAGTTCACAGCAACATCTGCCACCCAGGGTCCATATCCTTTCCGAGCCAGCGAGACGAACTGCCCCCGCTCTGTTGAAAAACCTGGACCCCACATGGGTCCATGTGCGGTCCATCCTCAAACAGGTTCATGTCACTCGACATCCTCACTTCCCCCGAAAACGTACACCTGTTCGTCCCATCCTCGCCCACACGAACGCAGGCGCCGATGACACTCTGGAAAAAGCACGGTGCAAAAAGAATTGAACAGCGTGAAGAAAAGACAAACATGAAAAGAAGTCGGTGATCCACGTACTTCCTGGTCCCAAATAGATAGAAAAGTACAGTAGATCCTTACTAAGAATGCTTTGGAAACCGTACTTCTATCTATGTTAGGGATCAGTATACTTCCGGGTAGGTCACCCGCACCGATTCTGGACGTGAACCTGAAGTGAATGAAGTGAAATTGGCTCCGTGCTGTCAATCTCTCTTCGCGGTCATTGGGATCCGTACCCAAACGCTCCACGGAATACAAATTCCTGGTCTTCACTTGATGGTGCTTGATGATCTTTTTGGTTTTCGAAAAGCTTCTTTGGAACCCACGGCCTTCATTTGATGGTTTTGATGGTTTTTGGGAATACCTGGCCCTTCAAAGTCCATGTTACGAGAAAATGAGCCTTTGGAGGACTATATTCCTCTACAATCCAGGAATTCTTATAAGTTCCATGTGAATCTTCCAGGGTGTAACACGTGTACGTTGCTCGATCCAGTTTCGATCGACGTTGACCACGGCGTCGTGGCCTAGGAGGCTGAGTAGGACGGTTGGGAGAAGCCGCCTCAGCATGCATCCCAGAGCACAGAACCGCGGAACCTTTGGCTTGTCAACGCTTCAGGTTTATCGCAAACCACGAGGAACGATAGTCATCCTCATGGAATTATATAGACCAACGACAATACAATAATTCAATAATTTGTTAAGCACATTGACCCAATCCTGTTTCTGGATTGTGGGATATCCTATCGACTGTGGGATGACTGGATTCTATGAAGGTGGGTGAACGTCAACATGGGTGGCAATATGCTGCTCCAACGAGTGTGGAGATTAACAATAGAAAACACCTCACAAAACACATCAGCAATCCATCCCTAGAAACCCAGGAACAACCCTCAGAAGATAGATTGAATCTGCAGAACTCAAGGATCACTTCGGTCACTCCCAACACGTCCACGGCACGTGCCGAGCGGCATTTTTGGGAAGCACCTTGGGTGAACTTCCGGTCCAACCTTCGAGCGGGGCGTCCAACGCACGAGTACACCCGTGGACGTCCAGCGATCCAGGGACAAGCTGAGAGTCTTTGACTTGATACCCAAAGGCTCATGGACCAGAACCAGCTGCATCCAACTGCTACATGTTCGCGGTCCAAAACCCTGGTTCTGAGGATCAAACCCCTAGCTATGGCCTGTGGCTAGGGTAAAAAGAGTGGAGGCTGAAATCTTGGTGTGTCCAAACACCTCCTGCTCGCAAGTCGGGATTGTCTGGTTTCTAGTTGTTTGCTGGAGTTGGGAGTCAATAAACATACGAATGGTTGATGGTTTCAACTACCTTGAAACATATTGGTCACTTGGATCAATCATCGGGCCCATTCTGAATCATTGACTCACAATAAGAACTGGCTATCTGGTCCTTATTTACCGACCATTCGAGTAGTGTTTTTCCCCAAATAACTAACTATAGGGGTTCTGACTTCTCAATGACTGGTTGGTTGGTTTGTGTTTTGGTCTATGTCGGTGTCTGATCAATTTCAGCCAAATTCAGCAGAATTCCTGACCCTGTATAGAGCCACCTTGTGGCTCTTGCGGTTGTTACAGGTGTCGCAGGTGATGTTTTAGGTGATTAACATCAGGTTTAATCCCAAGAAAACCAAGAAGTTCCCGTTGTCCAGACCAGAAATCCCCAAGAAAACCCACCCCGAGACCGGTCAGTTCCCTGACCTCAATGAGAACACGACTGGAGTGACCAGGTGACCAGGTTCTGCTCGATCACACTGGACCTTGTATATTTTGGGTTCGGACCAGCCTATAGGTATTGGACCAGCCTTTTGGACCCTTCATGGACCAACCTACAAAAAAAGGTCCATCTTTTAGACCGGTTTTGGGTTCATTGCGGATCAGGTTTGCGGTCAGAAAACACTATTCAGTGAGTCGGTCGGACCAGCCGACCGAAGAAACCGACCTCTGACTGAGGCCCCGTGCAAACGGCTAGCGGCCTGGTGTGGTGTGATTTGGGGCTGTGATGGGCTGCTGAGTGCTCGTCATCTTTTTATATGCCAATGCCAAGTGTATCCACTTGGAACATGACTGGAAGTTGGCCGAATCCATGGAAAGAAAATGAAAGAAGGATTCACTTGAAGTTGATTTAAAAAAGGACCAAACAACTGCATCAAACAGCTATAAATTCCACACTATCTTGCCCCTGTCTAGCGGTCTAGCAGGCTTGGAGCCCCCAAAGTCCCCTAGGATGACCCATCATGAGCCTCTTATGTATGACTGTACCCATGTTCTGCAGGACTCCAGGGTGCTATCTTCATGGACAAACCGAGCCCCATATCTGCTTCTGCCTGACCTTCCAATGTGGACGTTAAGGCCATTGGATATGGCCACTGGCACTGGATATTGACATGTGTGAGTTAAGTACAGGGAGATCTCCCCTTGGAATAAAGGCCGAAAGCAAAGCACCGGGTGCTTGGGCGAAAGGGGAACTTATAAACCGGGTGCGAACGAAGACAGAGTTTGGAGGAAAAAATGAACACCCCCCAGTGCCAAGTGGAAATTCAGTCCAAAAGCCGAGGTCCTGACATGTCCTGACAGTTGGGAGCTTTATTCCTGCCATTTTACATCAGAAAGGCCTTCCAAACCCAAAGCAAAGCACGAACCCCGAACCACCTGTCCGACTTGTTGGAAAAGTTCCAAGGGAACGCAGGGTTTGGGTCGAAACCGCGCATGGCATTGGAGCTCAAGGAGGCCCTTAGCAGGCCGACCGTTTTCTAAGAAAACGAGGTGTCTCGAATGATGCCTCTGCCTGATGATGAATGACCCTGGGTGTCTGTGGAGATGTCTATCCATGCAGTCTATCCGTCATGTTCAATTCATTCTTGGGTGCCTTGTGCAGTGGGTCTGAAACTGGTTTTGCACTGACAACAGCTACTGGTTCAATTTCGAACCTAGAAAAAACATACAATTACAAACATATTGAGGTTAATCAGGGTTGCCTCCTTCAAGTGCTCCAGTCGTGCTTCAATCATGGGTACATGTAGGGAGTGAAAACCACCTGTTGAACCTTCGGAAAAACTCACGGTCACTTGCTCGGGGCAATCAAACCATAACCATCCACATCACCATGAGGACGTTTCAGGGAGTGTACCAGCAACGACCAGTGCCGCAACGGCCAAACGTCTGTCCCCAACCAGTCCGGCCCAGCAAAAACGCTCGATCGTGCCTCCAACCAGCCACATGCTCGATCGCGCGCAGTCGCCCACGCACAAGGTTCGCCCCAGCCCCAAAAAAGAAACAGCTGTGGCGGCGATCGGCGCGGCGGTCACCTCCTTTCTTCATGACATGGGTGACTTTCAAGGGTAACGAATCTGTTAGGAAAGCCATGGAAAAAAAGAATACATAAACATGGTGACTTACTTCGACTGACTTCTGACTGGAAAAGTTGGTTCAGCACCCTGAAACACCCAATCTTGAAGCTCAGCCTGGATCCTGCCAACTCCTGGCCTTATCCGAGGCCTGGCCTTTTTGAGATCCAGATGATCTGTGATTGATCCACACACTGCCCCCATGATTGGGATTGTACCCCTCTGGATCTCTGTCCTCCAAGGTCGGTGGCATCCTCCAGGTGTTTTGGCTAAAAACATGGGGTGCCTGCCAAAACGACCCTGGCAAATGGTAAGCATCATTGGACTCGAACGAGTTCGGAGGGGTTTTGACCCTGCTGACCTCGCAGGGGTTTGGACCCGAAGCAAAAAGCTTCAGGGACTGCAGGCCCCTCATGATCCTCATGACACAGCTAGGGTCCCAAATCCTCAAACCAAAATGATCCAAAATGGAATCAGCAAAAGCCTCACCCATTGGACATCCTTGTTTATACCTGGCATGCCCAGCTTCAAATACCCTAGAAAATGTGGGCATGATCATGATCCTATACACAAATACTTGTACCCATTTTCTACAGTACTTTGAGACTGGTAGCATATTAATTTGATGTAGACTGGTGATGGATGGGTTCTTCTAGTGAATGTCTAAACCAAACAAGGGTGTCCATTGCTTCCGCCTTCTTGGATGCTTTGCACACACACATGATTATATAACACATCAAAGGGATGAACTGTGCCCATCCACATGAAACATATATATATATGTTTCTATATATAACGATCATGCACTGTATGTCAGGTAAATGCATGTGGTCGTTTAATGAGTTTTTGGTGATGGTGACAATCCGGAAACCCTCGACAGCAATGACGTGGCATCACCAACGGAATTCCGCCCCACCAGTATCTGTGGCCGCTTCTCATGTGTTCTGGCAATACAGACCGAAGCCCAAAAAATGAAGTCATTTTACAAGAGTCAGACTCAACAGGGTCCTCTTTCCCAGCTGATTCTCCCAAGCCCGTTCCCTTGGCTCTGGTTTAGCTGCGAGCCCAACTCGGGTTGCTTTTCGTGGCCATCCCCCCAACCGCGTGGGCACTCCCTGCAGATTGCTGGACATCTGGACCACATAATGCGACCTGGCCGTCCATGCAAAACAGAGACCAGCACTCGACTCGAAAAAGGTCCCACTGGAGATTTTAAAGTGGCAGGTGGTGACCTGGCAGGTTTCGGGTGCTGGGATAGATGGTGTATTATGATTTATGATAATTTCGATGGTGGATCCGAAGATCGATGCATTACAATTCGAGAGGTATATTGGACCTGACTGGACACATGCCGATGCTTTGTTCATCCATGTGTGATGTATGTACTGATAACAACTGATTGCTCTAAAGACTCAAGCTTGAGTCTGTCACTGACGCAAAAAACACTGGAACATATTTGGCCCGCGGAACCTGGGCACAACGACCGATGGGACCAGCAGGTGTCCTCCATTGGTTTCTTTCAACTCACTTAAAGGTGGAACATAAACGTATCTGAGGCCACTATAGCAAGATGTATACCATCTTTTATACGTTTAATCCCTGGCCTGATCGGCCGTCAGGACTGCCTGTCCCATGGTCACCCGAAACCATCGGCCGCGTCGTGGCGGGGAAGAGCTCCTGGTAGCGGGGGGGTCTCCCTTCACTTCGACAAAGGTGAAGATCAGTTTAAAACAGCAAGAAATTCTAAGTTAGAGGAATCAAACGGATTCGATAGTCTAAACTGACTGATGTCCAACCTGCCAAACAATATTATATAATTATATATATAATTCGGATATATCCGCATCATTGGACCCTCCAAGCTGGAGGGTTTGAACCTTGCATAGCAGGGGCTTGGACCAAAAACACACCTGCACCGCACCTTTGAGAATCCTGGATTCGTAGGATTTCTTAGGGATATCATATCTCATTCAGTGACCCACAGCCATAACACCTTCTGCCCCAAACCCTACCCTCGTGCTATCTTAAAGGGCTTTGGACGTTTTGCGGCGCTGCCTCGTGTTACGCTAGACTTCCGTTCAACCATTAAAACAATGGTCTGACCTGGTTTTGCAGTGTAAAATCCTTAGTTGATTCAGGAATCAGCCTATTAATGGTGGGCCAGGAAGCCTATACCAGGACCCCTTAAGGGGTGGTTAATGGACATCTCTGAACCTTTAAGGGGCTATAGTTTGACACCCCCTTATAGGGGGCCTGGCATAGGGGTTCTCTCTTTCATATCGACCTGTTGAGCCGACGCTCGCACCGTGACACCGAGCGTTCGCTCTCGTTCGAGACAGTCAGGCGCCCCGACGTCAACGGCTCGAGCGGGAGAATTTCTGAAACGGGACGTCTTCATCGGCATTTCTCGGTATTTTTTGTTTTTCCTCCGGTGAAAAAACGCATATGTTCTTTGTTATTGTTCAACCGAACAACCGGGTCATTTCGAGATGTTAGATCAAATAAGGTCAGATTGAAAACGACATTAAAAAGACCTTTCAGTGGCCGAACGGCAGGCACAAGGAATTCCATGCACTTGCACCATCTTTTTTCTTTGGGCCCTGGGATCGATCGGCTCAGCCATGTGCCTCGCTGCAGTCAGCCAGGTAGAAGTAGAAGGACAGCAGTTGATTGCAGGCCTGGCTGAGGAAAATCCAGGTGGATTGACGTGGACAGAGAACTGAAAAAGCGGTCACGGCAAAGGTTCCACATCGTCCACCCATAAGAGGCAGTGACCCGAACCCAAAACATGGTACTTATACCCATGTTCAGGTACTTTGGAGGGTCCAGGGTCAGAGCGGTTAGAGCAAAAGACGCTGATCCCTCGCAATGCAAGCCGAGTCCGAGTGGGCCAAAAGCTCAGGTATACTTGGAGGGTCCAGGGTCAGAGCAGTTAGAGCAGAAGACGCTGATCCCTTTTACTGCTCCCTCCGGCGCTTCGTTGGCTGCTCCAAGTCAGGCTTCGCTTGGTCCAAGAGTCGCAGCACCTTGGCATGCCCATGCAGTGCGGCCAACTGTGCTGCCGTCTTCCCACCGCCTTCGACCTGGCAAACGGAGTTTCGTTGCGATGGCAAAACATGTGTGTGTGTAGCATAAAGGAGTTTCCTCTACCAACAGGTGGCTTTCAAGTTCTGTTTAACTTACCCGGTGTACAAAACTTCATAGTGTTTGACTCATGTTTGTTTCCAAGACATTTAATGTAGCAAACATTAAACAAGGCGCATCATCCATACTAGCTGGAGTGCCCAACCCATTGTATCATTGTCCAGCAGAATCATCCAAACCAGGTCAAAGGCTCACTCCCTCGATCCAAGCGGCAAATGAAAACCGAATCCATGTGGTTTCCACTACACTTCCAGGTGGTGAACTCCACGTAACCATGTGAGTTCCAGGGAGAGTACTCATCACATGAAATGGCTCCAAACCTGGAGACCTTGGTTGACCCATTTAAGGGTGAACAGCTAGAAAGGATGACCTGGGCAGGTCAAACAACCAGGGTTTGGAGGCTCCAGGTTTTGACCCACAGCCATATTCCAGTGCTAGTCATCTGCTGAACTGGTCGTTTCACGTGGTCTTAACGCACCTGATCTGTGTTGGCACCACACTCGAGGAGCAATCTTACCACCTCCAAATGGCCACTCCAAGCAGCCATGTGCAAAGCCTCACTTGCGGCCATATACACAGCATACGCTCCAAAGAAACTACTCTGGATGCAATAATGACACTTGGCAATTCTGGAATATGTACATGGCAACTGCTGTGGTGCTAATTACAAGAAATGTGTTTGTTCTTGTGTTTTTGGGGTAGATCGGAGGTATGTATGGGGAGTCATCTAGCAGCTAGCAAAACACTTCAAAGTTCATGGTTTTCAGCAAAGAGGCTGTATCACCACCATTCTTCGCCTTGTTTACGTCAATACCAGTCTTCAGCAACAGGTCTACAACCCCTCGGTGGCCTTTCCAAGCTGCTAAATGTAAAGCTGTGCCCCCATTGCTCGTGAGTGAATCTTTCTGAGCCCCAGCTTCAAGTAGCAGCTTCACAACTTCAGCGTGGCCTTCCAAGGCTGCCAAATGCAAAGGGGAATCCCCACAGATCGTGCTCCTCCCAGGATCAGCACCAACATCAAGCAAGGTCTGCACCAGATCCAAATATCCTTTCTGGCATGCCAAATGTAGAGCTGTTTCCCCGAATTGCGTGACAACATCATCAGGCTTGATGCCCCAGAACTCGCTTGCAATGGCCCTCAGTAGCAATATGACACAATTGCCATGGCCCCGCTTCAAGGCAACGAGTAGCGCTGTGTTCCCATCACTATCTTTGGCTCCTAGATCAGCACCAACATCAAGCAAGGTTTGCACCATATCCGAATAGCCATTCTGGCATGCCAAATGCAGCGCATCATCAGGCTTGATGCCCCAATTCTCCTTTGCAGCTGCTTTCAGAAGCAAAGTCACGCACTTCTGATGGCCCCGCTTCAAGGCAACGAGTAGCGCCGTGTTCCCATCACTATCTTTGGCTACTGGATCAGCGCCAACATGAAGCAAGATCTGAACCAAATCCAAATATCCTTCATGGCATGCCAAGTGTAAAGCTGTTTCCCCAAATTGCGTGACGACATCGTCAAGCTTGATGCCCCTAAACTCCTTTGCAATGGCTTTCAGCAGCAAAGCCGCACAATTGCGATGACCCTGTTTCAATGCGATGAGTAGCGCCGTCTTCCCATGACGATCTTTGGCTACTGGACTTCTACGTTCCTGCAAGGACTGGCACAAAAGCTCTTCTAGCTCGGTCGAGTCAATGCCAGTTGCGGCAATCAACCGATTGCCATGCTGCTCACATGGAAGAAAATTCAAAACAACCAGCTGCACATGTGCAACTGAAAGTACAGCCTCATCGTTTAACTCACGGCCGTCTTCAGTAAGCCATTGCTGTCGGAAGCGCGAGGCGCCCACTTGTTCAGAACTGTGCTCTTTCAACCACTTCACTGGAACGTTTTCTATCACATCCGCACCAAACGTCGCCAAACACTCTCCGGCCAAAGAGCAAATGGTCACCATGGCAGAGACTCCTCCAGAGAACTGTGTTTTGGATTCAAAATGGCCGATTTGAGGAACAGTTACACTCCAAGGAAAACTGGAAGTGGCAGTTCACCACCCCTTTGGTCTTCGGAGCCACCATGCTCATTCCAAAAAAAAAGGAGGGCCCATGGAATGGAGTGAGATCACGGGTTTCATACCGGAAACAGCTCTTCAAAGAGACCTGAAGGCAGCTGAAAACAGCTGCCGCGATGGCCCACGATGGCCGCCGATGGCATCGACCCATTTCGGTGGCCGCTTTCGGACCCTCGAAGTTCGGTACGGTCTCGGGTTTGGCTGATTGAAGGACACTAGACTAGCTGCATGTGATTGGTGCCCCAAGGTCGGGTCCATGCGTACCGAACCGGAGAATTTAAGTGATTATACCCTAGGGCTCCAACCATATCCTCAGAAGGTGGTTGGACCCCCCAAACCCACCCCAACCACCTTCTCAGAGGTGGTTGGAGCCCTAGGGATATATACTTGCAAGGATCCCGACAGGTTGGGAATAGTTGCCGATTGGTCCTGGAGTGTCTTCGATTCATTCAGGTTGACGGTTTCAGCGTCCTGAAACTGCACCCACGAAGCCGGATAAACTCATGCAAAAGAAGCAAGTGGTGGTTGAGGAATTGAGCTGAGCGTTGGCTCCCACACATTTGGAAGTCTCAAGGAACTCATCACTATATGCCATGCCCTCTTGGATTTCCCCAACCCGTCTTGAACAGTCTCAGCTGAAAAATCATTCATCAATCCCCAGAACTTCCAATGACTCATTGAGGTTACCCCATCTGGAAGTCCATCCATCCACCACTACCAGGCCGGGTTCTGCAAGGGTGGGGTTTGGAGTGTGTCATGAATGGACTCTCAGGTCAAAGCATTCAAAGTCTTGATTTCAACCAGTCTAGTATCCTGGAGTCGTCCTGTTCGTACCTCAGAACATGCATGTGTCACGGCTTCAAACCAGTTGCTGCTTCGGGTCATGTCCCGGTGCTGGTCGGAACCGTCCGTCGGGTCCAGGTCCTGGTCTCGATTCACTGCCTTCTCAGGTTCACGCCGGGTCGGGCGGCGCCCAGCCAGGCGGATCGAGGGAGTATGCCATGACTAGCCGGTGGAACATGAGCACTCTTTGGGAGAAAGGCAAGGCCTGCAACCGCATCGGGCCCCCGGTTGCTGGTGGGATCTACCCAATTTGGTACCTGAACAAATCCCTGGGCCAACGAAAGCATGACCATGAAATCGGCGCGACTCCAGACCTTGGAGTATATCCCTACCAATCTATTATGTGTGTATAACCCTATACCAATCATATTTCTGGATTGCAACCTCTTTAACTTTTCAGATAAAACATTACATCTAAGCATGACTTTTAAGATGTTTAATGGGTCAATGTAAGCCAATATTCCAGTTGATGGATACTCTGGGTTTGTCAACCTATATTTGATGTTCCAGACTCCAAAAGGATTGGTAAAACAAACAAAAAACCGTTCCACCGTTCCACTCATTCCACTCCAACCGATTCCGAGCCATGGACCTTCAGCACAACGCGGGATCCAGAAGCTGAAGGTCTATGTCACGTCTCTGACGCCTTGCCGACTGGATTGTCGAGACTTCTTGGCAGAAAGGTGGGGAAATCGACTGCAGGTCCCTTCCTTCAAGCCCTAAGGGTCCAGGAGCGAATCGGATTCCCGGATGTCCTTTGACCCCATGTTCGATTATTCTCTGGAAGTGCATACTCACCTCCGTTCGACCATCCAAAAAGGAGGTTCAACTACTTCCGTTTCGGTTCGGTGGTTGGGGGAGCATAAGGGTGGGTCTGTCTCTATCTTCTGAGGCACAGGAGCCCAGGAGCCCTTCCTTAAAGCATGTTTCAGCTTTTCCAATCTTGGATCTCTCAGGTTACTTGTCCAGCACATACCCCAGATGTGGTCCAGAGGGTCTCTAGTCTAGGAGATTGCCCTATTTCCATCACACACCGACTGACCTAGATCTGCTGGACCCAACTGACACTGACGTACGTCTTTTGGCTGTCTCGGCTGTCTCGTCGGCCAGCCGCGAGCTGTGACCTGGGAGTGACAGGGAAAATCATGCAGAATCTCTACTCTCCCCAAATCAAACGTAACCCCCTAAAGTGGGTTTTCTTTTTTTTTTGGGCAACGTTAGTCGAAAGATGCTGAAAGGGCACAAGTGGTGTCTGTGAGGAGGATATGTTAGCAAGATTCCGCAGGGATAAGTCAAAAATGGAAACGGCCATGTTAGTGGATGCTGGGGGAAATTTTGACAAATTTCATGACTCTGAACTGGCACAACTGGTGTCTGGGACGAGGATATGTTAGCAACTAGGAGAAGCATTGAACGTGACCCATGCCCTGAACGTGGTATCGGTGAGGAGGACATGTTAGCAACAGTCTGCAGGGGAACATGTGTTGCAAATCCTCCGACATGGAAGCCGCCATGTTAATTGATGCCGGGAAAATTGAAGTTTCATGACTCTGAAATGGCAGAAGTGGTGGCTGGCGAGGGGGACAGAGGGACGTGTTAGGAGTCTGGACGTGTTTTGGGGGTTGACTTTGATCCGGACAGACCAGGACTAACATGTCCATGCAGGCACATCATTTCCAAGATACATACCCAACATATCCAATATTTATCTCTCTCTTTACTATATTATATTGTATTCCTGAGTGCCACTTAAACAAGTCAGACTTTGGAAGCTCCAGACTCCAAGCGGCTGGGCGACCATGGGGCTGCTAACATGTCCATGTGTTCACATGTTTGCCAAGATACATCCCTATGCATCCCTATGCGAATTCAAACCTATCCAAAATCAGATTTGAAACCTATCCAAAATCTCTCTCTCTCTCTCTCTCGAAATAAATACATACAGTTTCATCACCAATATCCCTCAAAGAAGCAAGATGTTGGAAGCTCTACTGTAGACTTCAGATGGTTGGGTTTTGAAGAACAACTGTTCACATGCACCAGGAGCATGGCTATCATGGGTCTCATTCACTGTATTCATTTGGGGGTGGCCATGTTACTCTGTTTCGGCACGTGCAAAGACTCACATAGCCCTCCAAAAGGGGCATTGATTCTTCCAGAATGGCAAAATTCCTAGTTGCACGGACTAACATAGCCCCCTAAAATGGTCACGTTTTTGACCAAAATTGCAATATGCATGGTTGCCCCAGGCCAGGTTAGCAATGTTTTTGGACCTTTTCTTGAAGCTACCGAAAAGCAAAAGTTACATGCAATTCCCCAGGAAACACCGGAGAGGTTTGGGATATGTTAGTTTGGGTCCTCACTGCTGCCAGGGGTACGTTTGATTTGGGGAGTGTAAACCTCGGCGAAACAAGCAGAACCGTTCGTGAAAATAGAATAATATATACCAGGACCTTCCCAGTGACCTCTTCAGTATTGGTAAGTGACCTTTTCAAGGCCGTTTCGTGACCGACCCGCCACTGGGATCTCAAGTTCGGTCACTGGGAAGGTCCTGGTATATATAATCTATTCGACTCCACATGCATGCCTCTGGGGTCGTGGCAGACCTTCGATTCTTTGCTTGCAAAAGTAGGTCCAACCGCTCACCTGATGCCCTCTATATGGAGTGTATGATCAATAGAAGTGCCCCAAACAAGGTGAAGATCTAGCTTCACAATTTGACAACTGAGACCCAAAACCGAGACAACATGAGACAACTCTGTTCCTCCTTTCCTTTCGCGAGTACTGAGCTCTAGTGAGACTCTTGGTAAAAGCAAGCATCATGGCACCACTCACCCATGAAAGTCCGGCTGGACGTGAGTGGGCTCTTCCACAGCGGATGCCGCATGGAGTGAGAGGAACTCCTCTGGCAGCCCAGCATTTGCGTTGTCCGGACTCAGCCGGTACACAAAGCTGTGAAAAGCTTCTGCCAGGGCTGCATTCAAGGCCTCAGGATAAATTTTAGCCCGTGCAGTTCGAAAAGCCCCCTGGCATTTGCCAGCGAGACCGACATGGGCCCCAGGCCCATGGGGACATCTACCTCTCAGACCCAACTGCATGGCAATCTCCCTGAAAGCTTCCATCCGAACCAGCATCAGCGTAGTTGGCTTCACTCCAGCTGCGCCAAACACGCACTGGTCAAAGGAGACCACTGACACCGAATCAGCAGTGGCCATTTCTTTGATCTCTTTAAGCCGCCAGATGGAGGCTCACACGGCGGCCCTCCGCCAACTCCGATGACCTGCCGAGACAAAATGCGTTCCCTCCACCAGCGAATACGAACCGGATCCAAGAGATCCCCTTCGGCTCCTTGCAGACAGAGGTCTACGCTGAGACAAAACGTCTCGATGTTGTGCACCCATGTATGTGCCTCAATGCAGCTCTGGAGATCATTCTGCCTTCGAAAACCGGAGAATAGATGCACAAAAACAACTGTACTGATAGAGACACGGGCATCCCATACTGACACCGACTCACGACGCAGGACTCCAGTTGTCCCAGAGTTAAAGCCACGTCCTTGTTGGAAAAGATGGGCAGATTCTGACACAATGACAGGCTCAGGAGCACTTTGTACAGCAGTCCTCACACCTTCTACATTATACCATGGAGGCGAACTATCAACCTCCACTTGGCATTTGCAAAACATTGCTCGTGCCTCGGGACTTCCAACTGGCGGGAGCGCAGCCGAGGGGACCTTCATCGCTGGGAGATGTGCTTTTTAAACCTGCCATCCCAAAGCCTTCTGCTGGGCACTAAGCTGCCGATCTGCTTCATCTAGCTCTTCCACCACCGCAACAGGTAAAGGCGGAAAGATTTCCAGCAAAATCCTGGCACACTCATGCGAATATCGAAGATGCTGCATCAACCGTGGCCGAACATGATACTCCTTGCAACACACGAGGCAAAAAGAGCCTCCGGCGAGATACCGTACTTTGGGTCGATACCCGTGCATGTGTGCGGAGTGCATGTACAACCCACGCTTGGTGGGAAAAGTCTTCTGACATAATCGGCACTCGAAGACGGCAGCATGCACCTGTTCACCTTGATGACTGAAAGACAATCCATAAATTTGGAATGCATCATGCATTTTCAAGGTCCACAATTTATGCTTAGCTATACGAAGGGCATATCGTATGGCAGCATGCTCAGCTTTCTTCAGTTTCGCCTTCCACTGATAATCTTGGGCGGCAAAAGCACAAACCGCTAACAAGTCGGCACCTTGCGTAGGCCACTCACCACCTGGGTAATGATTTTTCAACCATTGAAGATCCTGAACCAGTGTGTGCTTCCAACTGGCTTCATGATCACTGGCTTGAAGAATCCGCCAGAGGGCCTCAGGCTGATGCTTTGCTGCGCGAGCTAGGTACCTAAGCCTATTGACAGTGATTTGCTGCGCAGGCTCAAGCATATTACAAAAGGCTGCAAGCTCTTCAGTCTTGAAGGCATGGGCCTCATGCCCAGCTAGCATCGGTTTGACTAATGGCTTGATCATATCACGAAACGCATGCTGCAGCTTGCGGAGATCTTCATTCCTCAACCATGACCACACATGGCAGTGGCAAAAGAAACGTGAACCAACCAGGCTGCGGAACAACTTTTGCTTGTTAGCCTGCGAAATGGAGGGATTGCACCAAAGGTTACGAACCAATGGACCCCAGGCTTTCTTTGCTTCAGCAATCCTGTGCTGCACTTCCCGTGCAGGTGTGGCGTCACATTGCACATACGAACCAAGGTGCTTATAACTATGAACACACCTGACGTTCTCGACTGAATGCTCCAGCACCACAGGAATACATCCACTTTGCTCAATGTGAATGCGCTTCTTTATTGCTCTCGAGCCCGGCCCAGAACATGCCAACAAAATTTCTGTTTTGTCTGGCTTAAAGTTGATATTCATGCCTCTCTTTCGCGCTGCATCACTGAGGATGGCCAATGCCTGTGCAGCAAGCGTCAAAACTGGATGACAATCTCTTGCCACAATACAGAAAGCAGCATCATCGAAGAAAGCAACATCAACAAAGGCAGGTTGCGACTGCCCCAACTGCCCTGCCTGCTGCGGACATGCTAGCCAATCACAGACCCCCAATTGTATGAATTGGGCCCTGACTTCTTTCAACAACAACTGCATGAGGATATTAAAGGTGATATCCCCAATCGGATCACCTGGTCGAGTGCCACGTGATGTGCGGCCTGCATAAGACAGACCCCGCACGGTGAAATGTGCCTGCCGAAATGCATCGAATGTGGACTGCTGCACTGCTGGAGTTTGGTCAGCAAGGGCAAAATCCGCTTGGGCCTGCTGCTCCCACTCCTGCAATTCATCAGGCGACACTCCGTGCTGACTCAGGAAAGAACACAGAGCTTCATCAGTGAGCCTATGACCAAACAGGCTTTGACGCAGCACATGGTAGAAGGCAGAATGCAAGTCGAGAAACACATGCGCAGAGGGCAGACGCGCACCGGTCGCACAGGACACCATACTCTGAACCACATGATGACCAAAGTCTGTGCCCGTACCAGCTCTACCTCCGAAACATGCAGGACTTGCAAGTTTCTCATACGTCTTGCATAGTCGGTCCCGGAGACACCCATGCGCAAGCTTAGCAATGGTGTCTGACAAAAATATGGCACGATAGTTGTCAGGATTCGTCACCGGACCTTTCTTGTGCAATGGCACTGATGTGCCAGTCTTCCATTCCAGCGGTTCTCTACCTGCACAGACTGCCTTGACGAAAAGCTCATGCAACATTTTTGCCATAACTTCGCCCCCGGCTTTGATAACTTCATTTGGAATCTGATCTAACCCTGGTGCTTTGCCGGATTTGAGCTTGCGGATGCGAGATTTGACTTGATCTAGGGTAGGCATATCATCTAGGGCGATCAAACACTGGCTACCTTCAGTGCTCAAGTGCGCAGCCTGCAACTGATCGTCCGTGACTTTCTGAGCAGCTTCAACTACCGCAAACCGATCGAACCATGCGGCTTGTTGCTCTTCATGGGATCGAAGCACTTCCCCGTCATCTGCATGCAGCATTGGCAAAGCTTTGGATGCCGCTGCACCTTTGCGTTTCCTACCAAGCAACATAAGCTTGTGCATAACCTCCTTGATATTTCCTGACAACCCCGCCTCCTCGAGATCTAACACAACCTGATGAAAGAAGGCACGCCGATCCAAAAGACAGGCTTTGCGGACTTCTTTTTCATCTGCACGCAACTCTTGCCGCACGATATCTCTCCGCAACGGAGATTCAGTAGTCCGACACATGGAAAGTAGCGCCCGCTTCCAACTGATGAGTATTTGGGTGGTAGCAGACATCCATGGGGGTTGCTTGGACTTAGCCACAGGGGCAAACACTTCCTCAGCTATACTGCGAATGCGCTGCCTTTGCCAAGCTGCATGTTCATCAATGTCAGCTCGCCAAGGGATGATGGGCAACTCCTGCAACTTCCGTTGGAAAACCGCAATCTTGTCTGCTACACCACACTGACTGCGATCAATCTTGCAGCGAGTTGGCTGTTGCACATAAATCCAGCCATCCATCTCAGTCACAGTTGGAGTGTGATCTTCGTGCGCAAAACCTCCGTCAAAGGACTTCCAACAGGAGGATTTCTGAACCCAAGCCCCCATATCCAGCGAGAGAACCACATAACCAATGCGTTTCCATTGTCCACGGGGGTGCCTCCACGTGCCATGCTGGCCCACATGAATGCCTTCCCAGGTGGCGGGGCATGCCAATTTCAATTGCTGTAACGATTGTTCAAACAAAGGCGTTGCACCATTCGGCGCCTCACTGCCTGCCGTTCCAATCAAATCGTCCGACTGGCCACCCAGAGTGGCATTGGCATCCAGGAAAAGGCAAATCTTGGCATCGTCTGGTGCTTTCCGCAGCTCTTGAACCAGAGCGGTCCACCACTCCTGAACTTCACTATGCGAGTCAGCAGTGCCCCAACAAGGAGCATGTCCAGAGCCGAAAATCCAGATCCCAAGTGGGATATCAACTCGCATGAGCAATAACCTAGGATTGGAGACCAATACGACAAACTTGGATTGGCCAACACCGATATTGCTGTTCTGCACCCAGGATCGTGATCGGTGAAACCATAGCTCACATCCAAACAGATTCGCATTTTGATCGGTGCGCGCACCCGAGCTAAAGATTCGGTAATGCTCGGTATTGGAACAACCTTCGCTCATTCGAGCTTCTTGCAACCCTGCAACGGTGACACCTCCCTGATGAAATTGCAAATCAATTCTTCCACTCTTATTGCCCCCTCGACGTCCTCTTTGGTCAGAGAACTGGGGATCCACTAGGGAGAGCACATTGTAAGACAAAATCTTCATACTGAGGCGGAAGGCTTGTGGTACATGGCATTGCAGCCGCTCTAGGGGGGCTGCATTAGGCAGAGGAACGACTGGAATCTTCAATCGTCCTTGCTCTTCAGCTGGCAAAGCATTCCTGCGCGAATTGTAGTGGAGCGGTGCCCACCACTGGACCGTTTTGGGGTTGCTAGCCAACTGGTTCAACCAGCTATAGTTAGGATTGCCAACGGACCCATGCTTACCAGCACAAACAGCCATCGTATCGGCCAATTCGTTCCAAGCATGGCCGATGTGAGCTCGAACCCTGATTACAGCAAATAATCCTTGGGCTCTCATTAGACTGCCGACATTGGCAACCAAGCTGGTCAATGGCCTTTGCACCGATGGAGCAACCATGCCTTGCACTAGCTCTACTGAATAACGTAAGTCAGGGCGGACAAGGACTTGGACATCAAGATGTAAGCTTAGAGCATACACTAGTGCAACCAGTATTGCGACAAGCTCAGCATCAACATTATCTCGTCTGGTGGCCCCAATCCAGGTAGGGTCATTGCAGTCAAAATGAACAACATCAGCACAAACCCCTTCTAGGCTTTCAACCCATTGCTGATCACTAGTGCCCTGCGTGGTGACCACCATGCTCCAGGACTGACCATTCTTATTACTGGCTCCATCAACATAAATGACACAAGAGGCCTGCCTCGAGTCAGGACGCTTTGAGGCCATTTGCCGGATTGCATGCATCGTGGCTACATGCAGCTTGATTCCTTCAGGCAGTCCTGCTAATGGCCGATCCCACAACTGATGGATTTGTTCAAACCATGTTTCCGGCACCGGAGACCGAAAGCCTCTCTCAATGCTCTGAACACAAACCTTCATGCGAACAGTGCTTCCGGTGTTGCGCCTGCAAATTCTCAATTTCAACTTCACCAATCGACTGTTGCTTGAATGCAAACGGGAGAACCTGTCCCCATTCCTTGACTCGAAAATCCGCTTCGACAAAAATGTCAGCAGAAGGCCAAGCTTTGCAAATCTCTCTGGCGGTCGTACCATATGCGAAATAGAGAATGCAGGCCAAATTTGCTTGCTCATTGACAAAAGCAATCGGCAGAACTTCACGTTTGAAGTATACCAGCTGTGCACCACCCACTTCACAAGAGTGCCTCCAGGCACAGTTGCTGAGTAGATCGCATTGGGCTTGTCAATCACGAAGTCATTCTGACTCACATTGAATCGATCCACCCAACTAGAAATTGCTTGTTGCACCCGAGGCCACCCAACATCAGGCACCCTCACTACGCCAGTCACTTCACCTTCTGCAGGCAAATCTCCCAACAGTGCTGGTACCCATTGAAATGGAATGTTCACACCCAACTTCGCGATTGCTGAAGCTCCTAACTCCCGCACTTCGTCACTGTAAGCCTGCAGATTTCAACAAATTTGTTATTCAAAACCAAACTTTTACGCTTGAATTTCTCTGCTCCTCCATGCTAATACTCACCTTCATGTTCAGCTCCAAAGTGAAAACGATGATGTTCATCATGTATTTCATCCCAGCTCCATAAATTAACCCACGTAATGACCCACCACGATCCGTTGAGATCCACCCCGAGGCTCGCTGCTGTGCCAGTCGAACTCCGCCGCTGCTGTGCCTGGCTCGGCACTGTTGACGCAACCGTTGACGCGCACGGGCAGCCCAACCAATGCCTTCCCATGTGGGTTTTGTTTCTTAAACAAATATAGTCTAAAGGACGTCTGGCATATATATATATACATATATATATATTATTACTATATATAAAATAATATGGATGGCTCACTTGATCCGCAAACCTCATATCATGTGTGCTTTCCCTCTCTTTTTCCATGCGAAGGCGTGCAGGACAGCGACGCAGCGCGGAAGATTTGGCTATGACTACGGAGCGCCCTGGGAGCGTTGAGACAAAATTTTAAGAATCTAAGCTAAGAAGGACAATAATAAAATTAGTTTCCAGCTCTCAGAAGTGAAGGTTTCGACTGACTCCCAAGGCTGGAGGTTTGTTCCTCTTTTGTGAGGCAAACTGATGCAAAAAGCTGCGTCCAAGGATTACGCCCACGCTTCAAAATTGTTCTGCACAACTGATTTTTCCACCCTTTTGGTGGCCACTTCGCACCACCTGAGCGACACAGAATCGGCAAGGTATACCAGTGGGTGTGCGACGATGACCATCAGCTCTCGTCTCACCGAAGTCACGGTGAAACTATTGAAAACAATTTCACCCAGGACCTTCCCAGTGACCGAACTTGAGATCCCAGTGGCGGGTCGGTCACGAAACGGCCTTGAAAAGGTCACTTACCAATACTGAAGAGGTTACTGGGAAGGTCCTGGACCATAGGTCTTTCCTGTCGACTCAAAACTCAGGTGGAGCTCAGAAGGTTCCTCTTGCAAACGGAGCGAACGCCGATGGTAGCACCACAACCTGAACTCCAGCTCAGAACGATTCTAACCCTCTAATTTGATGCCTCCAATCTGTTCAAAGTGTTCGGCTTGGATCCCTTTCATCCGTTTTAACTTGAAGACAACAGCACATCTGAAAATTAAGTAGTCAAACATCCTGTTTCATCTGCACTTTCCAACATGCTGGCAAAGACATGACATGGTGTTAAGGTGCGTGCTAAGAACACCGGCTATCAAAACTGAACGCATACTAGTCAGCACCGGGCATGGCTCTTTGGCAATGCCTGTGCAAAATTGCACTCGTCACCCTCCAAGCTGACCACTACTCTGGTGGTATAGACTAGATACAAAATTATACAAAGAAGTTCGGTATGTGTCAAACAGTACACTTAATGCAACAAAAGAAAGCACGTATACAATAGCATACTCCATAGAAGCATGGACCCAGCACAAGTTGGCAAGTTCGTTTGGGTGCCTTTGTCGGTCAAATTGGAGTAACTACTGTAGATTGAAGGGTCAGGAATGCTCTCGCGTTGTCAACTCAAGCTCCAATTCAGCCAAGCAAGCTTCTGCCGCTCCTGTGATCGCAAGCTGGCATGTGCACTTCCCCACAAGTGCTTAACGAACAAGTGATGTCTGGAAACCAAAAACTGTCTTAATTCTACAAACTCAACACTTGCTCAGCAAAAGCCAAGACGCAATCGGAATAATAGGCCTGAGTGTCGGGGACACTCCAGCCATCCGCACCTTCCTTGATCATGCGATAGTGCTTCCCACCACGGCGAATCTTCTTGGGCTTGTGGCCATGGCTATGGATGCACGGCCGTGGATGAAACACCGCCACTGGCAGGTCCGGCTGGAAGGTGATCTTCAAAACCGGCACTTCACCTGGGACGAAGTCCACCGCGGTCAGCTTCGTCGGGACGCCGTCGGCCACAACCTCATCTCCAACTTTCAGCTGCGCAGCTGATACCTGCAAAGCATCACGGCAACGAAAGCAAATGGTAGTATAGCGTCAAATTGTATAGATCATAATTTATAAAATTATCTTAAGCCATCACTGCTTGCAAGTTGATTGCGGAAGAGCTGCGAGGTCACCGGTGGCCAACACGACGCGGTGGTCCGTGGTCACTTGGAGCTTGGCTTCATTTGCCTCGAGGATCACGGTCCCTCGGGCTGCATGCTGCTCCGGAGGAGAAGCGACCACCAAAGCGGTAGACCCATCGGCCGCCAGGATCTGAGTGTCTTTCAACCTCAAGACGTTTCGGTCATATGTCCTTTCTTCAAGCGGGTCGTCCAATTGAGCCTGCAACAGGCCAAGTAGTTGCAAGTGTTGGGGGTGTTATATGAGGTGACTTTAGTGGTTGAGGCTTCGGAGAGAACAGACTAACTACAGTACTTGGCCTACTAATCTAGCTTAGGCGCAACTGCGGACCGCTCAGGAAGGAGCCAGTTGGTGTCTTGAAAATGGTATTGAGCACAAAGCAGCGTGAGCCGCTGGTGTCCACAGAGAAGCCGGAACTTGCACTGAGCTGCATTGGTGTCTCTTGATCTTGTTGGATTTGAACCCAAGAGGCATCCGAGCTGGCATCGCTGAACTCTGTCTTTGCCAAACCGGACAAATGCAACAGTTGGTGCAGCGTCAACTCACCATACTCACCCAAGTCTTTCTTTGTTTTCAAGTTGCCGTTGACAGCCAGTCGATCATACTTCATGCATCTTCATGCTAACCTCATGCAAATCCTTCTTCATGTTGAGAAGCTCTCTCTGCAAATCCAGCTTCTCCAGACCTGCTTTCATGCCGGATGCGTCCTGTTGCAATCTGAACTCCTGCAATTCGGCCTTCGTGCTCAGCAATTCCGAGGCCAATCTCTTGAGAGTCTCCTCAAGTTGCACTATTTGGTTCACTTCCACCTGTAAATGCGTCAGGCTCTGCTGACTTTCCTGAGCAATTGAGATCTCTTTCTTCAACTCCTTCATCTCCTCCTCAACACGGGCTATTGGGTGCTTCAAGCTCTCATTGTCTGACTTCACCTCCTGCAACTCCTCTTTCATCTTCAGCTTCTCATTCTGCAGCTCCATCAGCTCATCCTTCATCCTCAGGTGTTCACTCTGCAGCCTCGGGCGCAGCTCCTTCTCAGCTGAAGACTCGTTTTCCATCTTCTTCAACCTGTCGTCCATCTCCGTCATCTGGCATTTCAATATGTAATTCTCCGACATCAGCTTCTCCAACTCCTCCTTCATCTGCAACTTGTCTTGATGCAATGTGGACACTTCTTCCTTCAAACTCAACGTCAGACCCTTCAACTCAGTCAAATCTTGCCTCATTCTTCGAAGTTCATCCTCCACACCCACTTGTTCTGGCACTTGCGGTGCACTTGGTCTCGCACCTTCACTTGCTGGTGGCTGCTCCACTGGGGTCTGCCTTGAGGTCAGAATGCCTCGGACTTTCTCTGCGAGGTCTCTCAAGTCTTCCAAGACCACGTCGTAGTCCACAGGACCCGGAGGACCTTTGCCACGACTCTGCCGGAGCGACCAAATTGGTCCGCAGAAGTGGCCACGCCACTCGATCTGGTTTGGATCCTTCACTCGATCCCAGTCTGCGATGGCCTTCTGCATCAAATCCAGCAATCGCTGCAACTGTGTTGTCTCTTGGTCACAGAGCTTGGAGTTGCCTCCTGTGATCCGAGCCCAAAGTTCCCGGAGCAACAGGCCAAGGACTTCCACGGCCTCCGGGATTCCCGTTTGCCTCAAGGACGTCAGGGCGGTCAACCGCTGCGGAAGGAGCTCTCCTTTCAAAGTCTCCATGAAGGCTGCCCACTCAGGGACACCAAATTTGAACTTGGAATCCAAATTCAGCACGTCGTCCACCTTCTCCAGGTCCTTTCTCAGCACCGCCTCCGAGAGCCCGGTGATGGCATCGATCCACGGCTCCACGGCTTCGGATCTCGGTCTCCGGGGCACCTCCAACGCGGTCGACGACCAACGCTGTTCCGCTTCGCTCCAGCGGAAGGGCCCGTACCGCTCTTTCAGTTCACGCCATTGCCGATCAAATCGTTCACTTTCGGCCTCGGAGACGGATTCCATAGAAAAAGGGTTGGCAGAAAAAGTAGGGGTGCAGCCGGTCGGACACATCGGCCAAGGCAACTGTCTTTAATACGAACAAACATGGGATGCTCAATGCATGTCGCACCCCAATTCCAAACAAAAAACACACCGCCCAATTCCATTCCTCAAAATTCACAATGCCCTGCCCAACCAAGCAACAGGAGAATAACGAGAATAAGTCATCTCAGTCGACAGTGGTAGAGGAGCTTTGTGGCGGCGCGCACCAGGCGGAAGACGCTTTTTTGAACCAAACAGCAAGGATCCGTCGAACAGTGTGGACAATGGGAGGACTGTCCTTCGAAGGTTTTTGCCGTGCCCGTGTGACCCACAAAAAGGCTTTTCAGTGTTGCATCAGAGTCATTCTTTAAAACAACTTGCTCTGGCATGTTTCTCAGTCAACACATTCCAATCATTCCAGAAAGGCAAAAAACCCTCCAAGCGCAAAAGAACTTGCTTCCATCGGCCCGCTTGGCAGCCTCGAAGTGGCCGGCGCGACATGGCCGAGCCCAGCCACATCCAAAACCTCGGGTCGGCGAAGCTTGGACCTGTTGACCAAAGAATGACCAAACCCGAACCCATATTGAAACCCTGACGATCCATGACCACACATAGGTCACAAATAGAAATGATCTCAGGATATGCATACGTTTCTATTGATCGTGTTATTTGAAGACGTTGTCGAATCACAGATTGGGGTACCTGAAATGTATATAGTATCATTCATGAAATCCCAAGAACCAAGCATACCAGGGCGTGACGAACCGTGATTGGTCTATTTTGTCCCTTTAAAAATGAGGTCATTGTCGGACTCCAGCGTGACAACCCGTGACGAATTTGAATTTGGGATCGTTGGTTTTGTGGTTTTTGGGTTCTGTGGTTTTGTGGTTTTTGGGTTCTGGTACCATCTCGTTTTTTGAGGTCGGACCTCACAGGGTGAGGTCGGAGAGCCCCAGAAGGCACAACCCCAAATGTTAGCATAGTTGTTAGCATATAGATAGAGCTAACTTTCGATCCTCAGGGAAACATGGCAGGATCAGCCCACTGCAACAGGAGCAGCACTCATTTCCAGGATCCGCAAGGTACCAAAGGTCAGCGCTGAAGTTCCAACTCCCCAAAGCAGAAGAGGGCCCAAAGCAAAGCAGTTCGTCTCGGCAAATCCTCTTTTGTCATGGCTTGCAAGCTTGCACTTGGAAGCGTTCCCGACTGATTATCAGCTTGGTTTCTTTCAGCTTGGTATGATCTAAAGTGACCACATGGGGTCTCCTGTGAAAGATCTGGATAAAACAAACTGGTTCTGGATTCACCCGTAAACCTGAACGAGCTTCCAACACAGGATGGACCAAAACCCAGGCTTTGACCCATCACCATGTCCCCCTCCGAAGGTGACTTGTTTAAGAATGACTTCTGAGAGGTACATCAAGCACCCAACTCCCATGGGTCCTGGTATATGGGTAGGGAGACCCCCTGGATCTGCCACGGGTCTAGTTTCCCTTCTCCGAATTGACGGGGGTCGGAACGCCAGGAGTCGGTCTCCCTACATATTTGAGCTACACATACCATGGAACTTCCTCAGATTGTTTGTTGTTTTTGATGTGCGGCGTGATGTCCACATCTTTCATAGTCACAGCTTTATATTTGAGGCTGCGGATGTTTTTTCTAGTTGTCTGATTTTATCTGATGTTCCACAGGCATTTATACACAAGCTATGGGCCTTTATTGGTGAGCCACAGGCGTTTTCCCGAACCTTAATTTCTTTTTGTTCAGCAGATGTGTATGTTGGTTGTGGATGTTTATGTGGTTCACAGACCTAAATCAAGGTATATATGTTGAACTATACAGACAAAAAAAGGAACAGCCACGAGTTTGCAGGTATGGACGCCTGGCCACCCTGGTCTTTCGGGATGGGAGAACCGAGTCTTGTGACGGTCTATATGGGCTGAATGCAACCAGTTTCTGACTGCCACTGGCAGCTTTTGTACGCGACAATTGGTGGTTCCAAGTAGGGGAAGCAAGAGCAAATTCCAGAATCTGTGTGTTTCCTTGCAATTGGTGAAGCTTCAATATGATAAAAAAGAATGTACCATCCGAACCCATCTGTATACTGGTTTCTGTTTTGAGCTGCCTATGGTTTAAAAGAAAACAAGTAAGACCAATAAAGGAACCCCCCACTTGACCGGTTGAGCCAAGAGTCCTTTCGTGGGCCGAGTAGAATCTCAAAGATCTGAATGTTCGGCTTTCAAAGGTCGGCCGTGTTCCAGCAAGAACTGTTCAATCTTCCGCACTGCCTCCGAGAGCGCCTGGTGATGTCGGCAGTTCACTTCGAAGGTGATAGATTGCTGCTAGGTCATGATGCAAAGGTTTGTCTTGGACAAACTTTCATAGCGCACTCCAACAGGTCTCGTCTAGAGGGTTGTTGGGCCTTAACAGGTCACAATTGGCGAGCCGTGCTGGTACACACAGCATACTAGTTTGAAGACAAACACTCATCATGTTGTGCATATCTTCATCTACAACTGCGAACCTTACCCAAGCCCAAGTCATCCCAAGTCGCAGCCCACCTCCCTCAGCTTGGCGCCAGTCCCTGGACATCGAGCCCACCTCCCCTATCTGCCTCTGGCTCCCCTCCAAGCACACACGCAAAGCGCGCCCAAACCGCCTCGGGGCTCTGTTTCCACTGCTCCACCAGCTGGGCATGGGGCGCCAGGCGCGCGATCTCCCGAGAGGTCTCAGAGGGATGGTACAAGTCCAAACCTCGGATGGCATCCATCAGGGCGGGGTCATGACACCCAGAGAAAGCCTTGCTTGACCTGTACCTGGTGTCGGTTGAACCCTCGAACTCGCTCCCTACATGCTGGACGACCGTCGGGTGAACGTGGTGGGTCACCACCCATCTCTAAGTGCCATAAACATTCACGAAATCAGTCTTGAACAACAACGCACTAGATCAAAACCCAAAAGCATTCATATTTTTTTGGGGCTGAGACACATTCAATTTGTGGGGATTTAACCCACGACCTTATAATCCTCAGCCTGGGGGCCTGGACCTTATAATCCTCAGCATGGAATGATGAACAATAACGGGCAGGATCAAAAGGAGTGTGCTCTACTTACAGATATATAGCATGTATGATGAGTGCAATGTCGCTGATTCAAGAAAATCAAAGCTTCTCCTGCTGTACCTTTGGTTCGATGCACAAAATGATGTACCTTAACGTATAGCTATGATGAGAGTGAAGCAATTTCGGGCCAGCACAAACGCACATGACATCGTTTCTGTTCAAGGGTCCATTCCGCTCAGGGATGCCGGTAAAACACTGATTCTGTTCATGATACTCATTGATGTTGATATTTCCACTTGCTACAGAGGCGGCACGGTATATATCCCCAGTGTGCTCTACTCCGACCCATACTTTTGGAGCCATAACCATCCATCACCCACCTGCTTGCAACCCTCAAAAACCTCTCGTCCTCCCCAAACAAAGAAAAAAAGCCAAGCGCGAGCAAAGGTCCCATGAAGACCAGCATAGGTGTCTGGATGCTTGAAAGCTGCTCTCGCGTCACGGTGAAGACGAAATCACGCCCTTCAAACATGGCCTCCATGAGCAGCGAAGCTTGGTCTGGGAGCGTTTTTGTTGGGTGGATCCATGGATGGTGGGGATAGGTCAGCTGCTACGGTAGATGAGGACAATAATTTTCAGCCTGTTTGAGAAAACTACAAATAGGCGGGTTTCCAACTATAGTTCCGACCCTATCTCCACGGTGGCTGAGCTTTAGGGTTGTATTTTGAATTTTCTATGTAGTGGCTTGGCAAGCGCATTTCATGGAAACGAAATACAAGACAAACACAAGACATGTCCCTGATTTCAGTGGCAATTTAATCTCAACTACAGTACCCGATGGTAGCATCTGAGAACTGATATAGGAAAGTGGGCCTCTTGCTGGATTGTTCCAATTTCACTCCGCGTTTATGACAATTACAATAATGATCTTGGCTCAACCTGAAGCAAACTAAAAGAGGTGCCCTTGCTGTCATTCTTGATGGCCAGCCTCTTAAACCACCGATGGATTTACTTTGCTAACTTCATACCATTCCGCACCACTAGGAGGTGGTGGCTGTTCGAGATGTTACGAGGTTATTTAGAACTCTGTCCGTCTTTGGGGAACGTCTGCACATGCCAAGGTGGTAACACCTGCGCAACCTGGCCAACACCACTACTCCAAAGGCCATGTGTTTTCTCGCATCCCATTTCCCAGACTGGCATAAATGACTCCCAATCAGCAGGCCAGGAGTGGTGATTGGAGTCGAGCAGGTCAATGGAGTGTCGGGCATCTCTTCCGGTGCCGTGTCTGGCGTACCGGGAACCCTTCGAGAACGCCATGAAATCAGCTTCGTCACCTCATAGAGCTCACGGAGCTCTTCAGGCTTCGCCAGACCCTCGTCTTCCATCTGATCAGCCCAGGCGCCAAACCTGAGGTAGAAGCAACGTGGTGCCGGCTGCGGAACATCGCATGATCAACATCTGCTGGATGGTCGGATGGGTGGAGAGTGTGGCATGTTCTGAAGTGGGTACAGTGGATATAAAGCACAAACCAGGTACACTTATTAAGTATTGTAGCATCAACCTGGTACAGTGGGTATACGGTATAACATTTAAAAAAAAAACAAGCACCCCGCACCCCCCGTTCGGGCTGTCTATTGATCCTTACACCAGGAGTTCCATGTCGGGGTGGATTCTTACCCATCCAGTGAGTGGATGTGTTCTGGGGCCACCCCGACGTCCTCCATCCATAGCACCCTTTGGAACTGCTGGAACTGGAGGTTCAGATGATGTCCCTTGTGCCTGGCAGCCCTGCCTAAGACCCTCCCAGCTCTTTTGAGCAGTCACCAAGGATCACCAATCCTCATCGACCTACCTGGTTCATGCTCAGCTGGCATGACCCACACCTGGCAGGACCTCTAATTAGGTCCCAAAGAAGGATGCTTTTAGCACCCCTTTAGCCCTATACCTCAAACTGGATTTCATCGATCTAGAGATCCTGCAATTCAAGGGGTGACTGAGAGCCTGAGAAGCAAGAACACCCACACCCACAAACACACGAACACGCCAACACGCACATGCACAACGAAACTCGTCGTTGATCCCAGTCACCAATGCATGGTGGCTTCTTCATTGATCCCCGTCCACGCTGACGGCTCGGTGGTGTGCACGCCTGGCATGGTGGGGGGGCGTAGGCAAACCGGGACGTTTATTCTACAAGGTGGGACAACCGGAAACTACTATGTGTCGTTTACTGTTCATATCGGTTCAAATCTTTCTTTAGAGCCCCCCCTTCCCTAGCTCATGCTCGCACTATTCATTTGATTTGTTTCCTAGATTTTTTGGGAAACTTAAGTTCCCCCGCTCTTCTGTGCTTTCCCTTAGGCATTTTAGTTTTGCCAAGCCACTTTTGCCGATCGGCTGCAGCAACACGGCGCCGGTGAAGCGTTCCGGATATGCATGAAGCAGCTGCAGCTGAAAGGAGGGCCCGATGCACGAGCCTGCACGGTCTGACCAGCCGGTCGACGAGCCGGTGAGCAGTGGCTGTGGAGCTCGTACGTTTGGGAGGCCGAAGGGGAGAGGATCGCCCGGCCCTTAGAGGTGAAAATGAAGTGATTCCGGGTGTCAGACCCCCCAACTCCGGTCCTGGCATAAATCTTAATTCGCATATCGCCCCAATCCCGTTGAAACGAACAGCAAAAAACAAGACTCTATACGGTCATGCTATGCCAAATTTCTGCCATGTCCATCCTAAATCATCCTAACCCTAATCTGGCCACAGCCTTTTCAGGGTAGCTCATCCATATCAAAATCTGTCAATCATGGACCACAAAAACTGCCGCGCTGCTCTGCCGCTCTGCAGGCAGCTCGGCCCGCCTAGCAGCAAGGAACTCCGAATGCCCAAGTAATCCAGCAACGCCACCTGGTCCTCCATGAAGGTGTGCCAGCCATCACCTTCTCCAGGCAAACGTCCACTCGCATTGGGCGGGCTCCAGTCTAGGAGGCACCAACAAAAAGGCCGTGGTCAGTAATTAGTAGCATATCAGAACTCATATCATATCAGAATATCTGCTTAATAATTGAAGCACAAACACATACCTGACATACCTATACGGTAGACACCCCAATGGTGTTTGGAACCCAAGGGGTGGTTAATGGTCACCCGACACCCCGTATACCACCACTTGCCACCCCTGAACGGGTGTCCTGAAGCCAATTGTTGATGTTTGGCCACCATTCCATCTTCCTTATCTTAGAAGTTACAACAACTGCAAACCAAACAAAATACAGCTCAAAAAGACTCAATGTATCAGTAAATAAATGGTCCCTTCTCTATATCTTGAAAAAAACACACACTTAAGCGAACCCAACATATGTTACCTTTTCTCCCCTTTCTCCGACCCTTCGACCCCCACCTGCCGCGAAGCTCGCACTCGAGCGGCCGCCCGCCACCTGCGCCGAGCGCTGGTCCATGCCGATGACCTTGAAGCGCTCCGGCGCCAGCTGCGACCTCCGCGGACGACCGGTGCGCGGACGCGACGCCGCCCGGTGGTGCGAAAAGGATGGGATGGAAAGTGGGTCAAGGTGACGCATGACGCTGCATCTGGGATGATGTGAGGAAAACAACACTTGAGAGGAGGGAGACACGAAAGGTAAAAACAGCAGGAAGAGAAGAGAACGCGAGAGGCAGGAACAAAAATGCAATGTTCGACATGGTGATTTATCCCCTCGGAGGCGACCTTTCGTAAATATATGTCATATGCACTCTAAATGTTCAAACATATGCTCTCGAAATGTTCAAAAAGATTCTTAGGAAAACAAACTTGCCCCATGGCTCAGATCATCGGTGAGCATTGAATCGGAGCATCATTGGATTTGAACTATCCTGAAACCATAAGAGGCTCACGAAGACGCTCCCCAGGAGAGAATTGACGTGCTCACAAAACAAACTCTAGGTATGTATCCCCTCAGGGGAACACCTTTCGTGATTAGAATTTCATATGCACTCTTTCTGAATGTTCAAGAGGGTTTCAACTATCCTGAAATCATGAGAGGCTCACGAAGACGTTCTGCAGGAGAGAATTGAATTTAGAGGGGGGGGGGTCTGTATTGAGAAATCAATTCGAGGGGGGGGGGGTTGAATTGAATGATCAATTATTAGACCCGGACGTGCCAACACTTGCTTCGCAAGACAAACTCAAGGTATCCCCTAAAGGGCTACCTTTCGTGACAAGAAGATACGAGAAGAACATGTGTTTGTATGCATTGTGATACAATCATACTGCTCGAGCTTTTTTCAGATTCGATCACTTATACAAAAGAAGCTTGCAAAGTCCAAAACTTCCAACATACCACTGGCATCGACTGCCTGAGGGGTTTCGATATGTATTGATAATTGCGCTTAATGTTTTCAGATGCCTCAGCAAATAAACAAATAAGTAGTCTTATAATGTCTTATACTTATACAGCAAGTTCTAGACCGGTTCATTGGTTCACTACCCTCTCTTGTTAGACTTCTGTTTGACCGTGAGTTAGACCCTAAACATACCTATGATGCCTATACCGGACTGAACAGCCATGAACAAACCTATGACATATGAAATATGAGCCTTCCTATACTAATTATGGCTCCCTACCGTACCTACTGAGCAGCCATCAAACTAACCTATGAGCATCTATGAGCTCTCCGTTCTGCTCCCTACCGTACCTACCCAGTCTTCACCGGTCTATGGCTCCTGTCTTGGACCAAGGTTCCAAGGATTCCAAGGCATGTTGGACCACATGGCGATGGAGGAGCGCATGCCGCCCGGCGCCAGCCTCAAAGGACGGGCCACTACTCGCGGGCCAAGCACCAAGCACCGTCGTGTGGAGACCAAGCAATGCGTTTGGGGTGCTTGATGGGTGGCCTAAGACTTTATGAGGAAACACTCTTCGGATTTTTGTTCTTCTCAACATGCAAGCCATCTTAATCCCATTAAGCATCCATAAGCCAGACTTGCACTGAAGGTCGCCCCTGCCTCAATTGCTATTCTTGAAGCACAAACATCTTCGAACAACACCAAGATTCACACTCTCTCTCTCTCTCATATATATAGTGTGTCTGATCATGTCTTATCCCATGTTTTCCCGCCCCAATTGACCGGATGTCTTCCAATCCACGCGCAGCGCACGGCTGTCCAACGTTCGTCCTTTTTCTCCTTCAACGAGGAAGTCTCGTTTCGTCTCGTCTCGTTGCTTCGAGCGACAGCAGCACCGGGATGCCACTCCCACGGATCTGATAGTGGATCTTTGCCTGGGCGTCGAGCAGGTTGGCTCTCTTAGGGGAGGACGAGACGCTCAGGTTGATGGAGCAGGTTGTGGTCACATGGAGCCACTGGCTCCACCCCCCATGGCCACCCCTTCTGTTATATATATATATACATATGCCCTGGTGTTTCAGAATTACTTCTGCCTACCTCCAGTGATGTACCTTCACCACAAAGGTGCCACAGCGAAATTGGTTCCTGCCTCCTGGCCTCCTTCACCTCGGTCTTTGTAGGAGCTTGACCAGTTGCCACCAGGTTTTGGAGGCTTTCTCCAATCACTCACCCATGCCCCAAGAAGGAATGTGGGAAAAAACTGGATGGTGATGCGTTGAAGAACACTCTTCCATCTGAGAATCGAATCATTCGTAGTTTACCTCTCCTACAGTTGCCAGCATTTGTCTACATGTTTCTACCTCCATCCGGTCATCCGGTGGTTTCAACTCACGAATGAAACATAGTAGTCAGTGACTTCAATCATCCCAAGTACAGTTTGAACATTACACCAACTCTGAACCCCCCACCCAGTTGACCTCCTACATTGACCCCCCATTTCAACCATCCAGCAAGAGACCCACATAGAACCTCATGACATGGGTGTACACTATGAATACCATGGTACTGGATCCCATCCCATGGTACGACACAACCCCCAACAATCCATTGCATGGGACATCCTGTCTGGAGATCTCTACGTAGCGTAGGGTAATCCAGCCAGACACCCAAACAGGATGGTCTTGGTACATTGATACCTGAAGCATCTGAACCCAAAAACAACTCAACTGATCGACCAATCTTCCGTTTTGTTCTTGGTCCCAAGGTCCCTGGTCGCATGCTCTTCCTCTGGGTCTTCCTTAGGGGGTCGCGTGCTCTTCCGCCACCATCCACACCTCAATCCATCTGAGCTCCGCACACCACCGGGACGTGGAAGGAAGGGCATCACGAAGTCAGCGACGCGTCGACGACGACCCGTGGTCGTTCCGCCAGATCGCGAGGATAGCCGTGTGACCCGGTGAAGGCCAAAAAGGGATCGAAATAGAACGGGCCCTGGATGTTGCTGGTTGGCAGTAGAGGTGGCTGGTGTTGTGAGAGGTTGCTTGACATGGAGTTTGGTTGGTTTGTGTGTGGTTGGTTTGTGTGGTTTCTTGCATCAGTGGATGGGTGAAGTAATTGGAATTTCAACATGGATAGGTTGCATGTTGGCTCATGATTGTTTCAATGATGGTGCCAATGAGCAGAAATGTGGCGGAGCGAGCTAATATCCAGAAATCAACACCTCAAACTTGACTTCAGCACATTGCTTCAGGCATCCCCAGCTAGGCATGGACACAAGGGCACCGTTGAGGGAGAGAATGCTGAACCCAATTCAAGAAGCTGGAACACGAGCAGTATCGAAACAAGTCCTCAAGCCAACATCCTCCATTCTGCCATTCTTCCATTCTTCCTCGCCCCCAAGAAGCGAAATTCACTCTGGCAGGTCGTCCGTTCCAACACCTCCGCGATCCTCCGCACTGATCCGTTCGCCTTTGTCTCACCTTTCAGCGGCCAAGCAGCCGAAGGGAGTGCGTGCTCGGCCGACTTCGACCATGCCTGCAAATCGGGGCCGTGTTCGGCGTCGTGGAGTGGGGCGCCGGTCGATGCGACGACGGGAGGGACCGATCTGGAGAGTCTCTTTTGTGCATGGGGACGGACCAAAACCTTGAGGCTGTTCCAAACAAGTGGTGGGCTAAAAACGATCAAAGCAAGTGGTGGCTTGAAGTGATGTGTGGCTGGAAGAAGTGGTGTGGATGGACGCAATGGAGACGTCATCTTTTGCCATCTCAAAACACTCAAAGTATATGCCAGCAATTCTAGGGTGACCCACAAGGCTTATACATCCAGATTAATTAATAGACTAAGCAAAGGTGTCTACCAAGAATGTGGATGCTGGTGTAGCTTGGTATCACAGGATCCTCTTCCAAACAACTCCAACTTCTGCAACATACCAGCTGGATTTGTGGAAAGCTGGGTTTGTGCCAGGAACCTTGCACCAGCGGAAACAAGCACAATGCCATCAAGTCATGTCAACAGTGATTGGAAAGAAACACACTGTGATGATGAGCGATGTTTTGTCCCAACTCAATTCCCCAAAAAGCTATATATTCCTTTGCTCAACCAACTGGGTTCAGCTCAGTAAGTCGTCGGTAAAGGGGAAGATCCAAACAGTAAAAGTGAACACTTCACAGGAGTTCTCTGTTGTGTTGGCGTACCTCGCCCTGGCCTTGCTCTCTTCGAAACCCTCGCCTTCCTCCTCACCCTGGCCGCACAGTGCACAGCGCTGCTGCTGGGAGCCCTTCAAACGATGCGGAACGCTTTCGATCAAAACGATTTAGCTCTGAAGGTCTGAAGCTCCGAGCCATGGATGACATGATACAAACACGTGATCATGAATGCTGTTCGATCATGGCTTGACAGTTGTTGTACTGCACTGCACGATGAAACATTTATTTGGAGAAACAGTGAACTACTCATGATATCTCATGATAGTTCAGCTCTGCAGGAAGAATGGTCAAATATTGCTAAGCACACCAAAGGCAGGAGCAGAACATACTTTTGTTGGGAAGGATGGGAACCATCTGTAAAAACACAACACGCACCTCATGAGTGATTCCAGTCTGTCCATAAATAAACACCCTGCAACCGAACAAAACACATTTTGACTGCTGAAAGCACCCTGCAGCCACCAGGTGCCTCCTCCCTTGGCCATGGCAGGTCAACCATGTTTGTCTTTGAAGGCTAAGGTACAGTTATAAATAAACGTCTTTCCGCGAACTCCTCTATGCGAAACACACAGTGACCTGGTCAACTCTAGGAGCTGATGAACTCGTGGAGCTGTTTGGCCAAGACGTTCTCATGCGAAACAGCTGCAGCGCAGCTTCCGCTGTCATTGCACTCGCCCCAAGTAGGTACTTTCACCCGGTTTTCCGCAACCAAACATCATCAGCAAGTTGTGGTTGCGATTCGCGTGGCCCTTCTCCCGACCAAATAAGCCCGTTTTATGGATGAACCTGCGTGCGCACCTAATGGTGTGGAGGGCTAATCTTTTGGTGCACATAGCAAAGGATACCAATGGAAAAATACAAGGATTGCTGTCCACTTGGAGGTGCGTGGCAGAGGATGCGTGGCATATTGCAGTGACCCAAACAAATCATCTGGGAGTCAATTCTTCCCAACAGAAGCACTTGGCACCAAAAAGTTGGTCCCTTCTATCGGAGTGGTTCCTCTGACGCCCCAGAGAGGTTCAGAAGCTATTGTCACACCGTCTGGGCCGGGGCCTTTGGCAGAACCCAGCATATAGCTTTCTTGAAGTTGATCCGAGAACCGACCAACTCCCGGAGTGGCCCCTTATAGGACCGACCTGTCAGGGATGAGAGATGGCGAGAGGAGAATAGCTCCCAAGACACAGTCCAAGCCTCCCACGAGTCTCCCATTTTCCGCGTCTCCGGCAGTCGATCCTGTGGATCGAGGGGAGGTCGCTCCTAAACTACGGAAAATTCCGCCGGCGACCGAAAAACCGACCTGAAACGACGACCGGTGGTCCGAAGAGGACGCCGCGGTGTTGTTCTTTGTTTTTTGTGCGCGTAAATTACTCTACTTCGAGTGATCCCCAACACGACATTTCAATCTGACAAGTTTCCTGGCATGTGTTGAAGCATTATTTCGGCATTCTTTCTTGCATACCTTCTGACATTCTTTCTGGCATATCTGACACTCTTTCTGGCATTCTTTCTGACGTTCTTTCTGGTATTCTTTCTTGCGCCCTCACCTGACAGGTGACAACCTATAGTACATGCTACTCATTGCACTTGTTGAGTATGTTGTGTTGCATTGAAGCTACAGGTGGCCACCCCTTGAATCAGTAAGTTGCTCAACCATATCACTAGCACCATGTCAAGGAGCCCGAATTTGCTGTCATGCGTGGCACATGGACGTCTTTTCTTGCGGTGTCGGGGGGGTCGTTTCCAAGCCACTTTTGACTTGTGCAAGGTCGCCAGGCAGAACTCCAGGTGAAACACTATATATAAATCCCTTGCAACCTCCGAGACCATGCCCTCTTTCCACGTGGAGAGTCTGCGTTCTGCATCTCAGATCTGTTTCATCGAGTCTGTTGAGTCGTCGGCATGGACTTGGAGGTTCCAAAGAGAAACTTCACTGTGGAGTTGTGAACCTGTGAGAAGAGACTTGATTCGTGCTGTACAAGGGAATGCACCATGCGCGTATTGCTTTTGTTGATTTCATGCAAGCCATGGTATGTGTGTTTACACACACGCTCCTGGCGATTTGAAAACGGGTTGGCGCCACGCCACAGTTTTGTAGGCAGAAGTGTTTTCGTGATGTACCAGCAAAGTCATCTTTCTCTCCAGTGAAAAGGGCCAAATGCTAATCCAAGGCACCTCAGTACCCTTACAATCATGGAAGTGGAAAACAAAAAACACCAGTTTGTAGAGGAAACTGGTCATCCAATCAGCCATGTTCCACTGCTATTAAGACTTCTATGATCATTTCAGAGAGTCTAGAATAAACTGGAGCCGGTTTCTCAATGCCCGGATCTTCCGACATTCCGATTGCAAAGCTTCTCTGCGTCCATTGTTGATGAAGAATGGCTTTCTACAAACGCCTGGCTTTGACACTTGCTGACTTTTTGAACACTCTTCGGCTCTTCATGTTCCCTCAAAAACTGTCAAACATCAACATCATAGCCATCGCCCTCATGCCATAATGTAAGTCCAGGGGGTCTGCTGCAGCTTGTTTCGTAGAGTCTCAGGTTTCACAAGACACCTTGTTCATCCTAATTCACGGACGACCCTTGGTACCAAAACAATCATTAACACATTATCCTCTTGACAATCGGAGAACGGTATTACCGAACTGCCGTTTCCCAAAGCATCATGCCGCGGAGAACGGAATGCAGAATGCGTAATTCACTTGCCGTGTAGGAATTAAGCTCTAT